GGTAATACTTCGTTCAATTCGTATTGCTTGCCTGTTCGTAGATGATCCGTAAAGTAATTATACATTGACCCTTTCATTCATGCAAGCATGGCTGTACACAACACGACCCTCTACATCTTTGGCTCTCCAAGGTCTAGCTACTTTTACGTCAACAAAGGCTTTTTCATATGGCATCACGCTTACAAACCAAAAGGTGCCTGTTTCTCCAAACTTTACAATGAAACGTGGGGTTTTGAATAGAGCAATGGGCTCGGCTTGGCCAACAGCACCTTGTGTGAAAGTTTCACGATCAGCTTGCCAATCCCAGGTCCTGGTCGCCACCAGCCAAACTGGATCTGAAGTCCGACCTCTTCGACGACGACGACCAAAAAAATTTTTTGAGGCTGGTTACGACGACAACGCGAAACTTTCACACAAGAGTGCTGTTGGCCAGCCGAGCCCATTGCTCTACCATTGTAAAATTGAAGCAGAACTTGTGTTTGTAAGCAATGGCCGCGGGGTCTTAGACAATTGCCGTTTTCTAGTGGAAAGTCCCGTATTCGGTACACGGTCGTCCATCTACGAACAGGCGGCCCTTCTTGTGCCTTTAACGACCACTTTTATCAATCATCATTGTTGCCGAGATCACTGCATGGAGCCGATGCCTGCTCGAACATTCATTTCCATGATTAAAGTGATGGGTTGATCCGAGCTGATTTGGCCCGAAAGGCTGCGGTCAAGAAGAGGATTACATCCTCTGGACATAAAGCACGCTCGATGTAGCTCAACCGATGTAAGTATTTTGTGTGACGTAACACAACCAAATCAACTCGGATCAACCTACTTTAATCATGGAAATGAATGTCTGAAGCAGGAGCATCGTCCTACAATAGAATGCACAAAAGTTGGGAATGCACAAAAGTGGCTATTAGCTGCCGCTGTATGACATGAAAGTGAGGGTTTTATGCCTTTCATGCATTGTCCCTAGATCCTGACTTTTTAGCTGAGTTACCCAAGAGGTCCTTCTGCATCTTTGGCTCAGGAATCTAGCTATGACAATGAACAAAGACCACTTCTCATATAGCATCATGCTTACAAACATGAAGGTGCCTGTATCTCCAAACTTTACAATGAAACGTGGGGTTTTTATTAGAGCCGTGTATGGCAACAGCACCTTGTGTGGCCAGTTTCACGATCAAGCTTGCCAATCCCCGGATACCATAATGTGCTACCAGCCGACTGGATCAGGGGTCAACCTCTTCGTTATAGGGAGGCTTGATTTGCCTCGATTTTTTATTGGGAGTATGTCGAGGAGTGATACCCCAGATGATACAGCAATGTGAAAGTAAAGAAGACTAACTGAAGAAAATAGATCCAAACGGCGGATCATTGTGACTCGAAGAGACACTTTCCGATGCAAAGAAGAGAACGAAAAGGGGAACGCTTTCCCTTGTGGCCGAAGTGTAGCATAAAGTCTGTCATAAGATACGCTGGTCAGTGTTTCAGTAATGGTTCTTGCTTCGTCGGAAAATAGGGAACAGGCGGTTAAGTAGTCTGCATTTGGCGACCAGTGATAGGTTTGGCGTTAGGGTCAGTATTGAGCTGAGGTGGGATAAAGTCGACAATAAGCTGGTCGTTGAGCTTCACGATTGGAAAGGTCATCAGAATGCATTGAAACATCAGGGAGTCGTGGCTGTGGGCGAAGAAAGTGTGGGCGATGGGGAGGCGATGGTGGCACGTGTGGTTCTTTGTTGTTGGTTGGCTGGGGTGCGATGATAAGAACATTTTGCTGCACGATGGCCTGAGCCACATGACCAGCAAAGACGTTGACTTGGATGACTAGGACATGATGAAATAAGCGGAACGATGACAGTGTAGACAATGTAATGGCATTTCAGCCCATGTTGCATAAAAGAAGTCGGCGGAGTTGGGCCAAGCAATCGTGTGTGTGTGAGTGGGAGGAAATCGAGTGAGGCTGAAACGTTTAATGTTGCGTAACCATGTCCCATAAACAGTGGGAGTCCTGGTCACGAAGAATACCATGATCTAGAATCTTACCAAGGGTGCGAGTGCTTGTCGAATACCATCTGCTAGTTTTTCCCTAGATGTGAATGGCAGGTTGCTGAGACGAATGTTGATGATGTGAGCGTTTTCCGATAAAGGCCGAGTGGGTAAGATACGAGAACCAGAGAAGTGAACCATTTTTGCAGGCTTTTTCGTACAAGGATGAATCATCAATGAATAGCTCAACAATACGGCGTGAATGATCTGAGTGCAGACGTGCTACACAGTTATCGGGATAGCTTTCACTTATGTGACGAAGAAGTGTTGAACGGTTTTCGGTGCGAGAAGTGAAGTCAAACAAACTCGGGCACGAAGCAGGGGATCCACCAACTTTCCACACATTGGAATGGGTGGTTTTGTCAAGTGCATTGCTGGTCAAAGATTCTCGAATTGCAGTAGGACGTTGAACGCGAGCAGCTCTCGCATAAGATATAGGTGGTGTACTAGATTGGGTGCCTGTTTCCTTATCAGGCGATTTGATTGAATTCGCGGAAGACATGGGGTCAACCTCTTCGACGACGACGACCAAAAAATATTTTTTGGGCTGTTTGCGACATTGAACGTGAAACTTTCACACAAGGTGCTGTTGGCCAAGCCGAGCACATTGCTCTAATAAAAACCCCACGTTTCATTGTAAAGTTTGGAGATACAGGCACCTTTATGTTTGTAAGCGTGATGCTATATGAAAAGTGGTCTTTGTTCATTGTCAAGAAGCTGGACCCTGGCAGAGCAAAAGACGCAGAAGGAGGTGATTGTGTCACAAACTCAGGGGCAGGTGTTGAAGAGTCGGTCCTATTGGTGGAGAGTGCATAATAGATAGTTTCCCCTGTAGTAAGGCCCGCCGATGGTAGCCCATATGGTATCTTTTTCATGTCAACCATGGCATGGTCAATAAGCTAAAGATGATCAGTGCATTGGGGGGTATTTTGTGTGCAGGTATGTGAGGGGTATGGTATTGTCTATCTCCAGGTTACGTACCTATGAAGGCTATACATACAAGATAGCGCATGCTGAATGTTATCATAGGTAAGCGTATGTATGTACTCGTGCGATATTGTATGGGAGCTCACTCTTTCTTAAATGTTCTGATTTAAGCTTTCTATGGAGTATGGACCAAGCTTCTGCAACAAAGACTATTGTTGGATACCATTGCTATGGGTTTATTATCTTTGAGAATACAAGCTTCTATTTGAATCTATGTACAATCCTAAGAATTGCTACTGCCTATCGTCTATTATCAGCATACGAACAAGGGAGCCTTAATGAATGTAATGTGTGAAAGAACAAAAGCGTCTCGATACAATGATGTGGATGATCCAATATCACTTCCCGCCCTTCAAGTTCCTATCCTCCCTTTCATTCCAGAAACGAACCAAGCGGATCGCATAGAATCAGTGGGTGCCATTGTTGTGTCATTGTATCCTTGGTTGCTGCCGTCATAAGCATCTTCATCCATGATTGCAAATCAGTTGCTGTACGTGCCTTGACTCCAATACCCAACATCATCCATGGTGGCAAATCGCTTTCGTCTAGATGTAAGCCCTCTCATCCATGCCATCCAATCCATCATCAGCCTCAGCCGTATCCACGCGACATGATCCATCTTCCCTGCTGACGACGTGCCACGTAACCAATATGACATTTTCAGGATCACCTATCACTGTACTTGATTGCATCCATCCATAACCATTGCAAGTCCAACATGTTGATACAAAGAACCCCCGTGATTGCTTCCCCTTTCCATCCGGCTGTTGTTCAATCACTTCTTGGTCATTTTCTATTGCAGCTCAATCAAGTGAAGAATGCTTGTATCGTGAAGTGTAGTTGATGGCTGATATGGCATCATCCATAGGAATTCGTTTGTATTGAAGCAAGTTGCTGCAGTAAAAAAGCTGCCTCTATACAATGGCTATATGCTGTCCACGTGAAAATAGCTGTAAGAAAGGTTGCTGCAGGTAGCTTGAGACAATGGAGTAAAGGGCCTCGACTGCTGTTACGTTTGGTGGTGGCAGAGAAGAGTGCAAGAGCGTGTATTGTAGAGTGTCAAGATTGTGAACGCTGTTTGATACAATGGCGCAAAGACATTGCTAATAGCAGCTGCTGTAATGCATGCTGTTACGTTTGATAGTGGTCGAGGATTGAACAAGAGAGGTGAAGTGTCAAGAAACGCTGGTGTTGAGCAGGTGCACACGCCATGGACTTGCCATTCAGTCAAAGACAATCGGATCAAGAGAGTCGTAGGATCGACATGATGGGTTGAAGCAAAACAATCGTTCGCAGGTGGTAGCTGTATACTTGAATGGGGCAACAGTTGAGAATGGGAGGAAGAGTGAAGAAGTTGTGGGAGCGGAAGAAGTGGAAATGAAATAGGTCGGACACCTCTTGTATAAATGCATGAACACTGTACATCAATCCTTGTTATTGAGGTTGTTCCTGTTGATCCTGAAACTTTCACACAATGTGCTCTTGGATACGCTGATCAACTTTGTCTTATAAAGACCCTGTGCTTCATTATGAGCTTTCGAGTGGGAGCTTGCAAATGTAGGAGAGGCTATAAACGGAATGGACATAGATGATGCGTTTATCGTACTAATACGAGTCGATGTATTCACTATTGCAGCGTTGCTCAATCAAATCATCAAGGGTAATCCTATCCTTGACCCTGTTTTTATGTCCCCTCATACCATAGTACATGCTATGTGGTTGGCTGACGTATCTATATAAGCCCATTGGTGCACCAATGACATCATCTCGTGACACTGTTTGGAATGACAATAACAACGATCATGTGTGTTGTGTTTCTTTGTCCACGAGTGGATAAGAAAAGGGGAAAGAAAAAACACGCAGCACAAGATAAGGGATCCAATTACCCAATCATGCTGAAGAGACTGCATATATAATCGGTACTGCAAACGGCAAATACCAATAGCAGCAGAACCGAAAAGACGTATCTTATTTACCCCGCATAGATATTGTAGACTCGTACAAGGATCTGTGTAACCTTGAGGATGCAGCAGTGATGATCACAACACAAAGGCATATGTTCGCATGTTTAAAATACGTGATTATGCAAGGTTGACGAGCCACGGGTCTCACTGATACTAGAATGATCATGAATATAGAACACTGGAATAGATGTAAAAGGGCAAAATGGCTCTTCTCGGTTCAGCGGATAAAGTCAAAGCTTGTGACCCACGCTTTCATTGACATGTGAAAAAACTTACCTGCGTCATTCAAATACAGCGCCTTTCTCTTTCTCCTTGATGTGTGCACTCGGCTTTCTTTTTCCTTTTTTCAACTGCAATCCACCCAATCCGCTAGATAATCATGCTGGACCATTTGGTTGGAAAGCCGTCAGCTAACTGGAAACGAACCCAAGTCATATTGACGTTATTCTTTGGGTAAGAAAATGACTACACGCACCATAGTAGAATCCTTCAGCGAACATCGTTGTATGGAACATCCATCTCACACTATTTGCAACAATAGCATATGGGTATTACTGAAAGGAAAAACAGGCCATTTGCCACGCCTCATTAGAAAACTAAACCACGTGTCAGGTATAACATGATGCGTGTAATACATCCATCACTGGCATCGGCACCTCACCCTTATCTCTTTCATCCATCATATAGCTGGCTCATCGCCTTGGAAGATTGCACTTGGGTCATGGATGGCGCATTACCTTTTACAAAACCTATTTTTGTTGGTCGGCTTAAATGGTATGTATAACAAACGCCCTTCAAGGGGGTGAATGATGTATGCATATGCGTATGCAAGTGCTAATTCTTTTTGCCTTTTTCTTCTCCTCAGCTCCTGAACCACAAGCACGATTGGTAAATGTGCATCCATTCTTTGATTTATGAATGAACACGACGCTAATGTGATGAGGGATTGTAGTACAAACGAAATTTTTACCGAGCAACCTGGATTTTGACAGCTTTGGATGCCGGCTTTTTTACAGCCATGCCACTGAGACCCGCTTGGTTGCGTCATACATGCTCGATTCTCTTTACCATGTATTATCTTGTATTTGCTGATGCTGCCGAGGAACGCGTACGACGTGTGAGAGCAACCATGTCTATTGATCAAATCCGCCTTTCATGGGAAAAAGCAGCCAACAATCCAATCCTTGCGTGGTCATCTAAGTTGTTACGTCCTAAAATTACAATGCACAAGGTGATGCATGTAGACCGCCCATCACCTTATTTACCACCCACCGAGTTTCATTTCTTTTATTCGGGTTCACCCGAATCGCTTGCACAACAAACAACTGTACTATTGCAATATCCAGGTGGAGGATTTGTATCAATGCCACCTCCCTGTCACGAAGATGCATTATATGCATGGGCCAAACAAACAGGCTTACCAGTGGTTAGCGTGAACTACAAAAAGGCACCCGAGTATCCGTATCCATGGGCGGTCCATGAATGCTTTGATTTTTACGTCTCCTTGATCCAACAGCGTGGTCGCTTCCTTGGGCTTTCAGGTGACAAGGATATCAAGGTTGTTCTTGTGGGTGACTCTGCGTAAGTCATTGTGTTGTATGGATACAATCAATGCATTGGTCTCATTGTGTTCTTTTTTTAGGGGTGGTAACCTAGCAGCTGCAGTAAGCTTAAAATTGCTTGATCATAACAAGCTGCTCAAAGAGGAAGCTGACGATGAAGAAGAGGATGTCACTAGCAAGCTGCTACCTATGCCAGAAGGCTTGGTGCTTATATATCCTGCACTCGATTTCGAAATGACATGTTGGATGACTACCGGTCAGCTGTCACTCATTCGATCAGAATCCACCACCAAAATGATTCGATCCAAATCGCTTATGAGCCTTCTTGAATCGAAGGATCATTTAAGCCATGCTAGCCCACTCAGTGTCGTACCCGATGTGGACAAGAAGCCGTCGCCATGGAAACGTGCACTTGGCATGACCCCTGTTGATGGTGCCAATACCGGCAAAGAGAATGCATCAGAAAAGAAACATGTTCGTGATCGTATACAAGAGCTGAGTGAAGTCAAGACCGATTGGGAATCATCACGTTTGGCCATGACAAGTCGTATGAGCTTCTTTAATGACCGTATTCTTACGGCAGAGATGGTAAATCAATTAATGGATTCATTCATTCATCATCTAACATCATCACTACTGTTTCCTATAGATGCGCGCAATGGCTATTTGTAAGTATCCATGGTTGTTTTAGGTAAACCAAAGGCTAACCGATACATGTTTATGTAGTGTACTTGGGTCCTCATGCACACCCTGATTTTGAATCCGATTACCTTCTTTCCCCTGTGGTCGCACCCTTTGAATTACTTGCCGAGTTTCCAAAAACATACATGATGTGTGGTGAAAAGGATCCATTTGTCGATGACACAGTGATCTTTGGTGGTCGTATTCGTCAAGCTAAACAACAACGACGTCGTGAAGAGCAACGTGATGATGATGACCCGATCCTTGGAGACCATACCGTTAAAGTCAAGTTCCTTGAAGGAATGAGTCACGCATTCTTGCAAATGATGGCCTTTTTACCAGAGGCCAAACACGCTACACAAACGATTGGGGATTGGGTTTTGGAGATTGCAGAAGGTCGACCCTCTGCTGACACCTTTTCTGATACCGATTCAGCACGCTCTGGTTCACCAGTGCATGAACAACAACAGCATCAATGGTTAGCAGTACCCAATATTAATGGATATCCAAAATCCCTGGATCAGCAACAACCTGGTATTGCCAAGGCAGTGGTTGCTGCGACATCACACCTTGATCATATCGTGACAAGCGAAAAGGATCTCTTGAGCAGACGAAAGACTGCACTTGTTAGCGAGCTCTTTGTGCAAAAAGTGCAACAATAACACTTGTATAGAATAATTGTACAGAATGACCTATATCGATTCCCCCGCCCTTTTATTCTCTTTCCAAAACCCAATGTAATAATACACGGCGAATATCTTATTCATGACAGCATGTATGCTACTTGAGCCCTATTGTCGTGTAGTAAATCATCACAAGCAATGCATGCATATGCGGGTTCAAGCATGTAGAGCTGCATCACTAAAATGACTACAGCCTACAGCCTATCAATAAAAGTGGACGTAGCCCATCAGCATGTATTGATGGCCGTGATCAATTGTCCTTGGTGGGTGATGGTGGCGTCATAATGATGACATGTGATGCATACCTTTATTCCTTGATCAGAAAAAAATGATGGATTAGCTTTTCTTTCCTTACACTGTTGCTTGCTATAACATGACGCCTCCTTCAACACAGCAATTTGAGGACGACCAAAACGTAGATCGAGCATTAGCTATCGTCAAGTCGATACCAACAATCATTGATGTTGCAAAGGATATCGGTCTCGAGTCGAGCATAAAAAACACGTGCCGCAGAATCAAAGTGACTATGGGGAATGGCGACAAGAAGGCAACGCCTTGTTGGCGACAATCTTCACAACATTGCAAGCTTGAAAAATCTCTATTTGAAGTTGACTTTGAGGACAAGGTGGGAAACTCGCTTTTTACTTTCGAAGCAGCCATTGCACCATGAAAAATCAATCACTGCTAAAGGATGTGACAACCAAGCTATATACTAGCAGCATCTTACAACTATTAATAGATTAGCTTTTATTTCGTTTGAAATTGCTTCCATATGTGACATTGCAACAAAGATTTCTTGCGCGAAAAGGATCCCACTGTGCTCAGCAGCATCCCCTTTGAATGTTGTTACCTCTTGCTTCATTTACGTTTAAGCCTTCTGCAAGCTAAATGCCAATTAAAACGTGTATGTAATAACATGAATCCGTTAAATAACATGATCCTTGTTTGCAAGTACTATTGCTGCAAATGGCAAAGGCATAGCAATCATCTTATTATAGGCTGTCAACGTTGTGGCAAACAATGGTCCACGTGTCCTTGCCAAAAAAGGGATTGGGATCATGCATGAATTTGCAAAGCATGCAGGTAAAACGACTCGCACAGTCGATAATGGTCTCCTCAACCCCCTATCTCTTTATACGCCAACAAGACCCAATTTCGACCTTAAGTTTGTACAAGAAGGATTAAAAACAACGGATGTAATATTATATAAAGATAATGCAACGAAGAGAGTTGGGGGATGATATCATCAAAGTAACAAATGACTAATGCGGATGGGGAAAAGGGGAACATAATGGATCAGATAAAGGACAAACGAGTCAGGGAGAATAGAGCGTGCGTGTGCGTGTGCGTGTGTATATATGGTATGTGGAAAAAGGAGAGGGAGAAAGTGTGTGTGTGTATGTTAACGTTTTAAAACAACTCCTGTAAATCCTTGAGAGTGACAACGCCTCGCCAGGGAGTTCGCTTATCAGTGGTATCTATAACCGGGAGCATTGGTAAATCTTTGCCGGTCGTGCTATGGGTCGTCATGCGTTTGAGAGCTTCAACAGCCAAATCGTTGGTGGCACATACGACTGGATCTAGGGTCATAATGTCGCGTGCTTTGATGTCAAAGATGGTTTCGCGTGCACCCGTCTTGAGGACTTGATGAACGTTGCTGTGTGTAATGACACCAATCACTTTCATAGCAGGCTCCTTATCATCTTGATGATGTTGTTGTTGTTGCTCTTCTTCTTCTTCTTCCGCCTTAGTCAATGATGTCGCTCTGACGTCTGCCGATGGTGTTGATTCGTCTGGATTGGTCGTTGTTGAAGACATAGCTGATGCGTCACCATCCTCTGATGCAACACTTGATGGGGGAGAAATCATACCAGATGGATCTCGACGAGTGTGATTTTGCTGTAATGGCTCTACGACAACGACACCCCCACTTTTTGGATGCTTGGTCATCTCCATAATAATGAGATCAAGTGATGCAGTGGGTAGTACAGTAGCCACTTGAGTGGTAGCAACCATAGCATCTTGGACCTTGAGCAATAGCCTCCTTCCTAGGGAGCCACCTGGATGATTCAATGCAAATCCATGCGTCGTAAACTTTTTTTGTCGTGCTAATGTGATAGCAATGGCATCTCCTAGTGCGAGTGCGAGTGTTGTAGAACTGGTTGGTGCAGGGATCTCGGACACTTCACTGCCAACTTGAGCATCAATCCAAGCGGCAGAGCATTTGGCAAGCTGTGAATGAGGATTGCCACCCAACCCGACTATTGGGACACCACGATGTTCGAGACTTGGGACGATACGCATAAGCTCTTCAGTATTCCCCGAGTATGAAAGTGCAAGTACAATATCCTTGGCATGAACGGCACCGAGATCGCCATGCATTGCTTCAACTGGATGCAGAAACATGGCATGGGTACCAAGTGACAGCATGGTCGCCACGATCTTTTCACCAATCTTGCCCGATTTGCCCACACCCGTTACTACAATCTTGCCACCTTGCTCAAGACTTGTCAAAAAGAGATCGATCGCGGTTCGATAACCTTCACGGGATGCTTCATGGCTGAATAATCGTTGGGCGCAGTCATTGATAGCTCTCGCTTCGTCCAATAGCACATTTGCTGAATCCAAGATAACGTCGTTTGTAAGCAGCATCGACTTTTTGTGGTGTGGTGAACAAGTCAAAAGGAATAGAGAAAAGGGAAAAAAAGATCGACAAGGATGGTAGAAATAATAAAAGTGAGAGAGGAGGGAAGAGAAGGAGGGGCCAGAATTATGAATGAAACCAAGCAAAAAAGATAACAACGGTGATGGATGTTAATAATAGCGGGTGAGTAAGCTAGTAACTGCAAAGCATAGTACAGGGTCCTCCTCCTGCTCCCCGTAGCTTAATTCTCTCAATCCTTTTTTCTTTTCTTATCCTCTCTCCTCTTCTTTTTCCTTTTGAACCCTTTTTTTTACTCACCATGGTCATTGTCTTGATTGTGAGGATGGATGCCGATGTTTTGTAAATGAAATTTGTTTTGCTCGGTCCCTTATCCAAAAATGCAACATCGTTTGTCTAACGGCTTTTATACCCGATGTATCCCCGCATATCGATGCTTTCATCACCACTGTACTCAATCCTCGCACGTTTCAACGCGATGATTATCAGATCATCAAGCATGAAAATCTTTATGTTTATATCAAAGCAACAACTATACACAGTCAATGCAGCATCTGATAATAGTAAACATTCATTAAGGATATACCCTATTATTCTTCTTTCCATTTGATGCTATCAGTGTGCCTGGTCGGATGGCCACGTGTACGTTCAACCTTTCCTATCTTGATATCATTTCCTCTATTCCCGACCCATCGCGGCCATTCCCCCGCTCTCACTGGATAAAATATTCTTCATATGCACGAGCCAATAGCCATTCATTCAGCCCACCTAACAGCGCTTTAAATGGCGCAATTTGACAGCAGATTTTACCACGGTCATGGGTCCATGGAAAAAAATACAAATTCATGTAGAAAGCAATCAATGGTTGGTATACAATAGTTTAAACATGGATGTAGTATATAGGGTTTCGTGTGTATGAGCGTGTGCGTGTGTGATGGTTGAGAGCTTCTTGCTTTGTATCAGTAATAGTATAGAAGATGAAATTATGAGAGATGCGTCAAAGTGTTGTGGGCATGATAGAGCTACAAAAAGGAAAAAGGACCCGTTAGCATAATGAATCTCTCCCATATCCATCAATGCTATATGTATTACCGTGATAGATCCATTATCGCCACTAGCCGCCATAACCATGAGATGGGGATGGAATGCGAGGGAGCGAGTAAAAGCGTTTCTTTGACCAAGGAATCCAGAGGATGGGCGAATTGTAGATAAGGGGTTACCATTCACGTTCCATACTTTGATGACATGATCATCACCAGCACTATTGGCACAACTCATCAGTATACATACATCTCATGCTGATAGATCCACACAAAGTTACCTTGCAATCACAGGGCTATGATCATGAACAGCCAACGCGGTCATATCAGCGTGCGTATGTGCCTCGATCGTACGTAATGAAGAGGGTTCACGAATATCCCACACCTTAATGTCACCAGCAAAACCTCCTGATACCAGTTCTCTGGTACCATCCCGCTGCAAATGCACGCTGGTCACCCAAGCCTTGTGCTCCTCCCATCGTTGCACCATGCTAAAACAATAAAGATTATCAGTTTTTCATCATCATCATCATCATCACGTCTCTTGCGTAATAGTCACTTACGCTGACGATGTTCTTAACCGACGATCATAGACGCCCACCATGCCATCGCCAAAGCCTGCAACCAAAATGTTACCACTGATTTGATCGCTCGTAATGCTGGTGACACATGCAGTGGATTGAGTGGCAATATCCTATGCAACACAACAACTTTAGTAAATAGGGATCAAGAAAGGAAAAAGATAAACTTACCATGATAGGCATTTCTTGATGGACATCCCACACTTTTATCAAACGTGCATCACCACCAGTAAACAATGTGCCACGCTCTTGATGCCAATCACACACAAGGCCACTTTGTTGCATGCTGCTCTTTTCCATATCCTTGAGCGCACGCCATGCACTCACTAATTGTGCTTCCTCTTGCTCTGAACCATCGTAATTCTTCCATAACCGTACAGCACCATCATCTATAGAGAGAGAGAAAGAGAGGGTAAGATGATGATGGTGATGACTTTTTCTTTTTCCACCCATCTTTTGCTTACCTGAAGCCGTCAGCAGGATAGCTACATCATCTTCGTTGATAAACTTCATATCCGTGATCCGACTATGCGATGGATTTCGATTATCAATAACACTCAATGGTGTGGAAGTCTTCCAATCCCAAACACTAAAGAATGAAACATGGATTAGATCACGTTGCCTCCCACTTGTGCTTTCCCGGTTCTGGATAAATTACACTAAATAATTGTATGCATCCGCAGCGACGAGATGTGGTTCGAATTGATGGAATAGGAGGTGTGTTGCTTCCGTTTCATTATGGAGAGAGGCCAACTGATCATCCCATCTTGTATCGGCTATATAGAGAATCATTCCATTAATGATCTCCTCCTCTATAACATGCTTCCATTTTTCGATTTACCTGCTCTTGTTTTAGTTGCTTGAGATTCAAAGATAATCTTTTCATTCCTGCTACGACGCCATTTCCTTTGTGTATAGACCACGCTACCAGGCTCTTCCGATTCAGTTGCCTACACCAAACCATAAGTTGATCCATACCTTTCCCATCCATGATCTTGAACGCTTACTCTCATCTGTGGTCCAGTAAAGTATTCACAGCTCCAATCATAAAATTCGGAAATCAAAGGCAATGAACCTTGCGTTGTGTTGTTGTTGTTTTGCTCTGGGCTCAATGAGTTACGAGGTGAGCCGACAGGTGTATTGTGTTGTGTGATAGCGTTGCGTTTAGGAATGGAATTCCCGAGGGAGTGGCGGTTATTGTTGTCGAGTGATGATCGAGGCGTTGTTGTTGTAGGTTCTTGCAAAGCGGTCGTACTGAGTGAAGCATTGCCAAAGTTGTATATAGTGCGTAACGTAGATGCAAAGGATGCTGAACGAGTAAGTGCTGTAGGACGTCGTAATTGTGCAGCAGCTGTACCCATGGGACGATGATCATCATGATGAGGAGATTGGTGATATGAACGTGATCGATCCATCATACCAGGACCCATGTTGGCTGATTGTTGGTGATGATCCGAAGCTGAATATTGCAACATCGATTCACGAACCACCGAGCTGGCATATTCGCTAATGGAAGGCGTGCTCAAAAGTACCGAATTGATATGGTCGACAACCGTAGCTGCTGCTTTTGCTACTTCAGGATGTGGATCCACTGATAAATTCAATAATGCCTTCCATAGCACAGCGTATACAGAATCATAACTCGTTGATCCGAAATGGTTGTCCGAACCTCCTCCTCCTCCACCACTATTGGTATTCACGGCTGATGAAGATGATGATGATGATGCTGGTGTTCGCCCGCGAACACTGCTGCTACCTGCTGATGGGGTCGTCGATGATCTGTTGTGGTGATGGTGATGATGATGATGTTGTTGAGTTTGTGGCTGATCTTCTTCAATGGTCTGATTAGCTGCAACAAGGAATTTGGCTGCACCCGCTTGATGAACAAGGTGTGAGATGGCAATGATGAATTCTCGGCGAACCACAGGAGAGCCATCCGACATTGCTGTAAGTGCTGAAATAGCAATATTGTGCTCGATATTAACAACTTGTTCAGACTTGTTCGAATCACCGAGAAAAGTGCCAAGGGCGTACATGGCTGCTGCTCGAACTTCAGGTGCACTATCCGAAAGCATGGCACATAGCTTTTCATGGGCATTCTCAAGAATGGCAGCTTGTTTGGCTTCCTTGTTGTTCATCCACACTTGAGCAAGACACAAGCAAATAAATTGTCGTAATAATGCATCCGAATCCTTGACATGTGCCAAACATGCGCTTATCACATTGGCTCTTAAACATGCTTGCTGACCAAGGCGGAAGTTGGTGCAAAATACAGAGAGAATAAAGGCGCTCATGGCACGGTGTTCAGAAACATGAGGAATGCTAAGCATGGCATCGTTGGGTGTAAGGATGTTGATAAAATAGGCGAATCCATGATCCTTGAGCAAGTCATTTTGGCAAGATCGATCGACAGCAAGAATACGTGCCCAAATGAATACCAATACAGGCTTGAGTTCGGCAGCTGGACTTTGCAATAGCTTGAGCACATAAGGGAAGATGCCCACTGAGAGAGCTGCATTGACAGCCCATGGTCCCAAATCCAAAAATTTGCTGAGTAGGATCAAAGCTCGTAGTCGATGTACTTGTGATAGCAACACCTGAAGCACAATGGGTAACTGTTCAGGTATCTTGGGATTGTTGACAGCTCCCTTGGCGAGCCATACTTCAAATGCTGTCAATTGCTCGGCAAAGAATGTGCTAGGCTGATAGACATAGGGGGTGCCACCTTCTTCTGCTGCCAGTAGTTGAGGTAATTGGAATAAGCACATATCCACCGCTAGATCCCATGCATGCCACATTGGATGATCATGTGTCGATGGTAATGCAGGCGTTGACATGGGGGTGCATTGGTAAGAGCGCATGATACGTTCAGCCAACAAGAAATTACGAAACATGGAAGCCACCATCAAATCTTGTCGAAAGAGACGTTTGAATAACTCGGGTTGATCCTGTAACACGCACCATGCAATTGTATCCGTCACAGCCGTAAAGATCCAATTCAGCTCACCAAGTGGAGTACGACGTTCTGCAGCACGACCTGGTAACCGTAATACCATATCCATGGTGATGTTCTTGGCCAATAATGGATTACGCATGACAACCCATCTTAGCGACATTTCAATAGGCGTTGTCAAGCATGCTGTAAAGACGTCTGCTGGAAGATCAGGGTTCATGGGCAATGTCTCGTTCGGTCCACAAGCTGCGAGCTGAATCGAATCACGCCATGCTGAAGCAGGTAATGCTGTTTGATGTTGTTGGGCGTTTTGGACAGCCTCCACATCCCGCTGCTCCGCAAATCGATTAAATGCATTGACGATGTTGCCAGCTGATGAACAATCCCATACATAGATCACAGGAGATCCCAACCATAGTTGTAAATCATAGAGGGATACTGGAATATACTGCGTATAGTTGCGATTGAAGACCCAAATCTCTCCACTCGCCGTTGGCTTGGGTACACCATGGCCATTGTAGTGAAACAAAATCCGCTCCTCCTTGGCTGTCCTCCGCATTTGGCAACACAACTTCTTAGTCTCTTCCACGGATGGATCCAATGACAACTTGAATCGTGTTCGCCCATTGATATTCTCATATTGCGTATGAAGATTCTTGCCAATCGCCTCCAATGACTTTTGTGGCACAAGTAGAAATGGATCGATCCAACATTCGAGCTTCGCACATGGATTCGTCTTTACAATGTCCGGAGGATCGGTGCCGATATTCAAGCAAATGACCAATAGACCTAAATGCCCCATATTAACAACCTCCTCTTCATGGATGCATTCCTATTCATTCGCTTACCTGACACAGTCTTAATTCTCTCACGTAGACGCTAAATAAAGAGAAAATAGACATTCGTCAGTTGCCAAGGATTCAAAAGAGAAGAAAGGATATGGAAACGTTACCCAGTCGAGCGACACTTGTCGCACAGCAACGTTGTGTTTGGCATTGGTTTCATGACGCCTCTCAGAGAAATGGAGGAAGCTTAGAACGTCATCTTCGTAGGCTGCATTGTCAAATCCATGTCGCACTACGCCTGTGGTTGGTGTGTGTCGTTGTTGTTGCTCAGTGGTGGATCGTACGTCGTCATTGTCGTTGCGTGCGCTGTGTTCGCCATTGACCAATGTGCTGCTGGTACTCCTCGCGTCTTCATTATTAGGGTCTGAAGCACTAACGTGCGTGGTGGCAGTTGGCATCAGGAGTTCTATATGCTGTAGAATGGGACTCGAGTAAGAAGAAATGGGGTGTGTTGTGTGTAAAAGAAAGAGTACTTTTACCGAAGAAAATATAAATGGGAAGCTGGTTTGTGCGAGAAACAATGCGGTTCTTTTTCAACCCAAAGTGTTGCAGAAATGTAAGAGAGAGAGATGTAAGCAATAAGAACAAGCCAGGATTTTCAATATCAGCAGCATCCAACACTATGACTCCACCCACCCATCCACCACCCTTCTCCATCAACATGAATGATCCTTTCATTGTAGAATGTCCATCCTGCATTATTGTTATTATAACATCATCAAAGAACACACCCCCTCATTCTCCCTTTATAAGTTGTCTGCTGCATACATTATAGTAAGTATCATCATGCATGTGCTAATCGATCTATATGAAATAAATAGCGACTTGGGAATTAAAGATTACATAGCGAAACGTCAAATCATTGCTAGCGTGTGTATGTATGTGCGTGTGTTTGTGGGTGGGGGGTGGGGGAGGGGGAGGAGGCGTGGTTGGACTAGATGCGTAGCTGATAAGAGTCACGAATCCCAAATCATGCGCCCTCTCATTCAACTCACTCTTCTTTTACTTCCCACTCCACTTATTCAATATGAGCGACGATGACGATTTTATGCTCGAAGACGACGACCAGGCATGTCACAACAGCATTACACCTTAGCCCCAATTCTTGATGCTGACGCGTCATTGTTCAGGAATACGACTTTGAGTACGAAGACGACGATGACGAAGAACCCGATGCCGATCTCGAAAACAGATATTACAACGCCAAAGGTATCCTCATGAGTAGACTCATATCAATAGATAGACTCTATACTCATACTGGATTTGATATAGCTCGAAAGGAGGATGATCCCGAGGGTGCTATTACAGAATTCCAGGGCGTGGTGGATGCCGAGGAGGAGAAGGGCGACTGGTAAGTGGCATATTGGACATGGATGGATCATCGATGGCGACATGGCATACTAAACCTGTTTCATGAATAGGGGATTCAAATCATTAAAACAGATGGCCAAGATCTCCTTCCATTTGCATAAACACCAAGATGTAAGTGAAGTGAATGATCAAATGACAAAAGGCACGTTTTTCACTGATAAATGAATCATGTTTCAGACCCTACGTTATTACAAGCAACTCTTGACATACACCAAATCAGCTGTGACTCGAAACTACAGCGAGAAGAGTATCAACAACATTCTCGACTATGTCTCAACGGCAGACGATATGGCATTTGTGGAGCAATTCTATCAAGTATCACTTGAAGCATTATCCGAAATGAAGAACGAGGTAAGTTACTCCATGCATACGATTCGAACTTTATGTAACAAAGGGATATGATAGCGTTTATGGGTCAAGACAAACCTGAAACTTGCCAAGCTATGGTTGGATCGAAAGGAGTACGGAAGATTGACCAAGGTGAGTGATTATGGGATTCGATCACAATAGTAGATGGATGCTGACTATCTATATCTCTTGAGATCTTACGGGAATTACGCGCTGCATGTGAAACTGAGGATGGCACCGATCATCAGCGTAAAGGTACTCATCTTCTTGAAGTGCTGGCTTTGGAGATTCAAATGTATACCGAGACCAAGAACAACAAAAAGCTCAAGGTAAGCAACAAGGCATGTCGATATTCATTGTACTTATAAGGGTAACAATAGGAACTCTATCATCAATGCATGGGTGTCAAATCTGCCATACCCCATCCTCGTATCATGGGTGTCATTCGTGAGTGTGGTGGAAAGATGCATATGCGGGAAAGTAAGTTGGATGCTTTATAGGATGTTATTGGGTATTGATTGATCTATCTTTTATTTACAGAGGAATGGGATAATGCGCAAACGGACTTTTTCGAATCATTCAAAAACTACGATGAAGCTGGCAGCCCTCAACGTATCCAGGTGTTGAAGTAAGTTTGTCATTGATGTGCAAGCATACACGAATGACTGAATGATCCAGCATAGGTACCTCGTCCTTGCTAACATGCTGACGGATTCCCAAATCAATCCATTCGACTCGCAGGAGACAAAGCCGTAAGTGACCTTGCTGGTTCTATCATTTTCATTTCATGTAGCTCAATTTATTATGATATAGGTACAAGAATGATAGGGAAATTGTTGCCATGACCAATCTTGTGAGCGCTTACCAACGTAAGGACATTGGCGAATTTGAACGTATTCTTAAAGGTAAATGTTTGGCTTTGAACAAGGATGGTCGCATTGCAGTGGATTGATTTGGTTGATTCTTTTAGTCAATCGCCAGAGCATCATGGGTGATTCGTTTATCCGGGACTACATCGATGATGTGCTCAGGAACATTCGAACTTTGGTCCTCGTGAAGCTCATCAAGCCATACACACGTGTCGAGTTATCGTTTATTGCAAAGGTAAAAAAAGGAGATGAAGGCAACACAACAAAGCTTCTAACATGGGATCCTTTTGTTCAGCGTCTTAACATTACCGTTGAAGAAGTGGAAGAGTTAGCTGTTGGTCTCATTCTGGACAAAAAGATTTCCGGCCAGATCGATCAGGTCAATCAACGACTTGAACTTGAACAAAGGTAATAAGGAAAAAGCTATACTCCACTCTTTTCTAACATGAATCTTTTCCCCATTCTAGATCAACTGATGCCATGCGATACGAAGCTATGGACCAATGGTCATCCAATGTATCCCGATTATGTACCACTGTCATTAGCAAAGCAACGTGAAATGAATACATAAAAAGTGCTCAAATGCTTGTCTTTTAATATCCAAAGTTGTTATCCTGACTAAATCCAAGATCCTTAAGTGCATCAAGTAATTGTGTACGGGCAGTCTTGATATCATCATAGTTGAGTGCACTGATGGCCCATTTTGCATGCTTTTGTGCTGAAGCAATGGCTGCTGGATCAACTAATGTAGGCGGTGGAGGTGGTGGTTGCTGTTGTTGCACTACAGGTACTGGAGCTGGAGCTGCGATTGGCGCAGGTGCAGGTTGATGCGAAGGTGGTTGCTGCGGCTGCTGTTGTTGTGGTGGTGGAGGTGGTGGTGGAGATGCTTGAGTAGGTGGCTGAGATGGTGGTTGTGGTGCCGGTGATGAAGAATGAGATACATTGCTAGGAGGTGGAGGATTGCTGTTGCCACTGACAGGAGTCGAGCTTTGAGCGTTTTCAGGAGATGGTGGAGATGGTTGCAAAGGTGCTGTAAAGTTGGATGGTGGACTAGGAAATTCCGATATAGAAGAAGGTGGTTGCATAGGCATATCCGTATCCTCATCCAAAGTACCAGATGCAGCTGCTGCTACAATTTCATCCGCTTCTCGCTCCTCTTCTTTATCTCCTGGTGCACCAGGTGTAGGTACACGTCCTTCACGTAAAGCCTTTGTAATGTCAGCTGCTTTCCACTTGGCATACTTGATCTTGGCTTCCACCTATCCAATCATACAATGTTAAATAACAGCCATGTACCATATATTCCCTTCTCCTTTTCTTACCTCAGGGTCCAATTCACCAAAGCTTTTCAACAACTCGAGGAAAATCGAGGATGCCAAGAAGGTCTTGGCAGTTTTCCTGCATAATGATATTCATGCATTAATAAAAAAAGAACCAACATCCATCCTACATACTACTTACTTGGATGCTTTACCAGCACGATCCTCATTGTCCGCATTCATAAACACCTTCAAAGCAAAGTTTTCAATGTGTGCATAGCCAACCAAATCATTGGTGATCGCCTCGTTTTGTCCAAAGCTAGCCTTTGTCTACAAGGATGATGATGATGATGCCTTGAATACGCTTGTCATGCCGATAGGATGGTATGTATTATACCTGCTCTAGCTGATCCAACAGCTGTGATAGATATGTATTTGTCTCCTTGTTCTTAGGACCACGACTTATAGCGAGCGTTGCCGCGTAGTATTGAGCTATTGACACAGCATTAAACGACCCATTCATTGACGCGTAATGGCTATTTGGTACAGACCATAGTACGATACAATGGGTTCTCTCCCAGCAAGTTCTTGAGCACGTTGAATGTAGGGTACAATGTACTTGAGATCAGGGGGCACCTCCATCTTGTAAAAATACCGGGATAAGAAATCAAAGCGTCCCAAGCAGCAGCTGGTGAAGAAATCCTTCTACTGCTGGTCTCGTGCGCACATGATCAAAATACTCCTCCATCATCATCATCCTTTCCTCCCTCACACATACACATGTACCTGAAATAAAGTCTACTATGAAAACCTTACTACAAATGAGACCCTTGTATCATGAATCAATCTTTCAAGTTGGATAAGTAAAGGATCAATCCTTTCACGCTGCATTGATGATTGTGTCGGGGCCAACTTGATGATCCGACCACTGGGTATTTACATGCGTATCTCACAGACTAAAAGAGCACCACCTCCAAGCAAGCAATAAACCTCAACAACGCCTTCAAGCATGATGCAAGTGACACAGCCCCAAAGATGACGAGATTTGCTGAAGCTTTAAGAGTCAACTTGTAACGCTATCACGTCATTAAGAACCCACCACAAAGTCGATTCATCCACATTATCTTTGAATTGTTTTCTTTAAAGCATTGATTGCTCAGGTACATAGGCAACGCGTATCCTCTCCTTGTAGCTGCGTTTATCTTCAAAACACATAAGAACCCAGCATACTTTGATCATTTAAAGACGCTTATCCAAAGAGGCTGTAATGGGAAATCGATGGCACTTGAAAGAACAAAATACAGAGTCGATTAAGGTTGACGAGAGCGGTGAAGCGACGAATGCTTGAACTGAGCGCCAAAAAAGTGTAACAAGCTTCCTAGTGGGACCAAGGGTCCGGCCAGGGTCTGTTGTACTTGTTCCGAGGGACCACAACGAGACAATAAGACCTTTTGGCGGACTGCTTATTACACTGCATGCTTCCGCGGGTATATACTTTTTGGGGCATGATTCCATTAAACATCATCCCAACAACACGCAATTGCCAACATCGATGATGGGGCACAGTATACATGACGATGAATGAACATAGCTCTTAATTGCCCCATAAGCCAAGAGATCACTTTTTATCATAATGCATTTGATCCATGGGATCGACCATGTCAATGATAGTGTATGACAAGAAGACTTTAATGGTTATCATTGTATCATGTACAGGCACCATGATGCATACATTCATCATACACAGGCACTTTTGCAATACTGTAATCTGATACCGGGCCTTTTGACAAGGAACAGACCGAATGCGAAAAATCTCAGCAGAAATGACGCAGCTGAAACGATGGGTGCATCATGCTTATGAACACTCTTTTTTTTGTGCGGGGAAGCTGCAGCAAGCAGTAGTTGAGAGAACCGTGCAACATAGTCCCAGTTTCATAACATCATCTTTTTGGGCGCCGAGTGACTATTGGCTTGCGTGGGGTAATGGAGTGCGTGCAATGTGCTACTATTTCCGTCATAAAGGCGCCTTGACCGCTGACTATTGTTCCGCGGCTCTGTCATAACGTAAGCATCAGCCAATCATGTCATTTAGGATGAAATGTCGCCACTTGGATGCGTCTTTTAGCGGGAGTGGAGCGGGAGCGGGGAATGAGACGGGTCCCAGGCATCGACGAGGTCAACTAACTTTATCGCTATTACGCTCAAAAGGGTAAGAACCAGCGATCTGAGTGTCAAGCGGTTCCCACGGGATCAGCCAATCATCATTACGAAACTCAAATATAAATACTGTTTTTCCCGATCCTGTGCGTCATTTTTCTCCACATTTTCCTTTCTTTCCTTATCTCTTTTTCCATACATACACTTATCGCTTTTTGACCATGTCAACAGCATCTCCTTTGGCACGATCCGCACTTAATACAACCGAACAGGATGACGGCTATGGCTACAATGCCAACGTCTTTCCTGAAAAGGAGAGCCAAATGGTCAAGGTCGTTTCCCTGATCGAGCAAACGGGTTTCATCCCAAAGGAGCTTGTTCAAAATGAGGTGTCTTGGTTCTACAAGTAAGTTTAAAATACAAAGGGAAATGGGAAAAGGATTGGTATACTGATTCGTTGCATAGCAACCTCGGCATTGATGACTACTACTTTGTCCTTGAATCCGTGGAGACCATTGCCAACCACGTCATGTCACTTTATGGTGCCAAGATGCTTGCCTATACTCGCAATGAAAATGCGCTCGATGTCAAGCTCGAGAAGGAAGATGATGATTCATCTGTGTATATCCATTCATCCAAGCCAGGCGTTACCGAATCACAAGGTCCACAATATGAGAAGAAGTAAGTTTTATTTTGTGATCTGGATAATGGGGATGAGGTGATTACAAGTTGCTAATATACAATGCTATGATTTATGATAGGATTGATGAAAAGTATTTGGATTCTTCTACTGCTGCTTGCGCATATCGCGTCGAGTCCTATCGATCCAGTGGTCCTGCTCTCAATGGCGTTACACCAGATCTCCGATCCTACTTTGTCACCAAGTGTCAATTCGTCAATCCCAACCCATCAGCTGAAGAAATGGAAGACATCACTCGTGTCGCTGACAAGGGCTTCTTGCGTAAGGCCACCGACCACACCCTTCGCTTGTACTCCAAGGTTATGCACAATGTCCTTCAACGTAAAGGTCCCGTCATTGAGATGTATGAAGTGCCCGGCAAGCGTGAACGCCGCTTGATCATTGGTTACCAGCAACGCAGCACCACTTCTTTCTTCTCTGCCATGTCCGATCTTTACCACTTTTATGGCTTGTTCTCTACTCGAAAATATGTTGGTAAGTTGCTATATCGAATGATGATGATGATGTTGCCATGGAAATGTCAAGAAGCTGACGACCTTTGTTTTCTATATAGAACAATTCTCTAATGGTGTCACTATTCTTGGTCTCTACCTCAACCCTGTGCCTAACAGCTCGCAAATCCCTATCGAGCAATCCATTCATCAAGTTATCAAGGAGACCTCGCTCATCTTCTGTTTGCCATCCACACCATTCCAATACCTCTTCCAGACCAACCAATTGTCCTTGCAAGAAGCTGTTTACGGTTACGTGGGATGGATCTTTGCACAACACTTTTTGAATCGGTTGGGCAAGGAGTATTTGAGCTTGACCAATATCCTTGATGCTCGCAACCCCATCCACGAAGAAGTTTTGTCCAAGATGAAGAAGCGTCTTCGCCAAGATACTTTCACTCGTGAATACATTTTGGACATCATCAAGCGTTATCCTGATTTGATCAAGTTGTTGTACGCCAACTTTGCCAATGTTCACTATGTCAACCAACGTGAATCCAACATGCCACCCACCATCTCCTATCAACGTTTGACTCGTCTTGAAACGCTCACCAATGAGGAGCTCAGCCAAAAGATCCGATCCTTGACATCCAACGCTCATGAACAAGTTGTGTTTGAGTCGTTCCTTACCTTCAACAAGCACGTTCTCAAGACCAACTTTTATCAACCTACCAAGGTCGCTTTGTCTTTCCGTTTGGATCCTGGTTTCCTTCCAGAGATCGAATACCCTACCAAGCTCTATGGTATGTTCTTGGTGGTTGGCTCTGAATTCCGTGGCTTCCATTTGCGCTTCCGTGATGTCTCTCGTGGTGGTATTCGTATCATTCGCTCCCGTAATCGCGAAGCTTACTCTATCAACCAACGCACTTTGTTTGATGAGAACTATGCCTTGTCGGCTACTCAACAACGCAAGAACAAGGATATCCCTGAAGGTGGTTCCAAGGGTACCATCTTGCTTGATATCGATCAACAAGATAAGCCTCGTCAAGCATTTGAAAAGTATGTCGACTCCGTTTTGGATCTTTTGATTGTGGGTCAAACTCCTGGTATCAAGGAACGCCTTGTGGACTTGGTTGGCAAGCCTGAAATTCTTTTCTTTGGCCCCGATGAAGGTACTGCCGACTATATGGATTGGGCTTCTCAACATGCTCGCAGCCGTGGTGCCAGCTTCTGGAAGGCCTTCACTACTGGCAAGAGCCAATCCCTTGGTGGCATTCCTCACGATACTTATGGTATGACCACTCGCTCTGTACATCAATACGTCCTTGGTATCTATCGCAAGTTGGGTCTTAAGGAAGAAGAATGCACCAAGTTGCAAACCGGTGGCCCTGATGGTGACCTTGGCTCCAATGAAATCAAGATTTCCAAGGATAAGACTATTGCTATTGTTGATGGCTCCGGTGTATTGTATGATCGTCAGGGTATTGATCGCGTTGAACTTGAACGCCTTGCCACTGAACGTCGCATGATCAATGCATTCGATGTCTCCAAGTTGTCCCCTGAAGGTTTCCGTGTCTTGTTGGAGGATAACAATGTCAAGCTCTTTGATGGCACTATTGTTGAAAATGGCTTCCAATTCCGTAACACATTCCATACCAACCCTCTTGCACAAGCTACCGTTTTTGTCCCATGTGGTGGTCGTCCCGAGTCTGTGGATTTGTACAACGTCAACAAGTTGATCGACAGCGGCAATGGCCAATCTTTGTTCAAGTACGTTGTTGAAGGTGCCAACTTGTTCTTTACCCAAGAGGCTCGTCTTCGTCTTGAAAAGGCTGGTGTTGTTATTTTCAAGGATGCTTCAGCAAACAAGGGTGGTGTCACTTCATCTTCGCTCGAGGTGTTGGCTGCTCTTGCATTCAATGATCAAGAATTTGCTGAGCACATGTGTGTCAAGGGTGGTAAGGTGCCTGCTTTCTATGAAGCCTATGTCAAGGAAGTCCAAGCTACCATTGAGCGTAATGCTGCCATTGAGTTTGAAGCTCTTTGGCGCGAGCATCAAAAGACCGGCATTCCTATCTCTGTGCTTTCCGATGAATTGTCCGTGGCCATTGTCCAACTCCAAGAACAACTTCAAGGTACCACCCTTTGGGATAACGCTGCTCTTCGTCATGCTGTTCTCGAACGTGCTTTCCCCAAGTTGTTGCTTGACAAGCTTGGTCTTGACCAGCTCATTGCTCGTATTCCTGAAAGCTATGTTCGTGCCATTTTTGGTGCCTACCTTGCATCCCAATTTGTTTATGAGTTTGGTGCTCAGCCTGATCATTTTGCCTTCTTTGATTTCATGCGTCAACGCTACTACAACGAAGCCAACTAAATCAACACACACATATATACTAGACTCATTCCACCTCCTACAATCATGTAATCTTTTTTCATCCTTCCCATCTGCAAAATAGTCATCCCCCCGCTTCATCTTTATTTAAACTTTCATTTTTGTGTTCATAAACAAGATTCCTCATTGTGTGAAAAATCAATTGTAACAATGAAAATGCATCACCTGGAAACATGTTGTTTATCGACGCCCGCCATGTGTATGTATTCCTATTGGAGAAAGGAATGCTCTAGCTCTTGCCAAATGAGGGTATTACTTATGCATATCATTACACATTAGCCATCTTGACAGCGGCACACTGCTCCTCTCGAAGCTACTGCTTCATAAACCATATAGTGTAGCGCTCAGCTACAACAACCGAAAACCTCCTTTTTGTATTCTCTCTTGGCTATGGATACAAAGAGGCAAGTACGTAGGATGATTTCGGGTATCATCTTTCGTGGGAATGCTTCTTTGTTGAGCTGCATGAAGGGGCGTGTGTATAAGTGTGAACGTGATCCTCATAGGCTTTCATATATAAATAATGCACCCATAGCATGCCACAAGTTCAAGTTTCTCATTTTTCGCCAATGCCAAAGAAAAGACCCGACCTTGGCAAGTGTGCGTGATGACTTTTCCAAGCGTAAGCTGACTTTTTCTTTAGAACAAATACAACATCAGCTGTCAGACATTGCTTTGGCAGCTCAAAATACTTGCAAACACAAATACTCTGCCAAGGAAGTGCAGCATTTGCAGGTGAACCTTTTTACCATATAATGACGATTACTATATGGTAATTTACGTGTCGTTGTCTGTGGCAAAATTAGAACCGGCTACATCATATTGATGAAAAGTATCGAGAAGGCGTGATTGATGATCGTGATATGAGCAATCCCAGTGATGACCCCTACGAACATCAAGGGCAAGCTCAAATAGCGGAGGTAAGCATGTCAGCAGGGTGATGACCGAAACCCTTCTACAAGCGTTTCTAGTTTGTTCTTTTGCAATCCCCTGTCAAAAGCAAAATTGACCTTCTTCTACTCTAGGAGCTTAACAGTATCCACCAAACGCTTTCAAACATGTTGGAGAATGCACACCCAAAGTCGCAATAAGGCTGATAGCAACATTGTTGTTTGCAAAGTCAACGAATAAAAATGAAATCATTAGTTTTATCAAAAAAGACATAGTGTGTGCTAGGGGGCATCACCCAAGCTGAAACAGGGCTTTGTATGTGTAATCCTGATGTAAACGTGCCCTTTCAAACTTGACCCTATATATTTAGTGGGGGAAAGTACATTCTTTGAACCATTCACTCTTATACATATATTAGTAAAGTCAACAATGCCTCAACAAGATAAGCTTAACGCTCGTATGCTAAAAGACTTTGTATAATGGTGATTGGGAATACTCATTCTTGCGTTAATAGAGAAGATCCACCAATATCTCATGGAGCTTGATTCTCAGGCTGCTGACACTGGACGCCATAGATACACAGCAAAGGAGGTCCAGTATATGCAGGTAAACGGAAACCCATAAGCATTGATATGCATGGATAAAAGGATCTCATTGTACGATGGATTATTGTAGGAACGACTAAACGAAATTGAGCAACTCTATAAGCAAGATGTACTTGGCGAGTACACTGCTTCGAAGGATGATCCAGAGCACCAAACTCAATCCCAAATTGCAAACGTATGTGATTTATTGTTATGCCTTAGCTGATGATTAATGCATTTCCCTCACAATGATAGGAGATCAAGAGTACCAGAGACACATTGAAGCAAATGCGCAACAATGCTCTGTAGGAAAGAAGTCGTTGTAAATAGCCCACGTGACATGTCAGTCATACAACATTAACAAATAATACAGCAATGTGTATTCTAAAAAGACAATGGGGAATGAGCTTATTGTAAGATGAAGGTAGAATGTGGTTGAAAGACGAGGTAAATAAAGTTTATGGGTATCACTGTAAACAATCATGCAATCAGGATGTCATGGTTTGATGAGTTGGAAAGCAATGATAAATGGAACCAAGGCAGCGCTCTTGGGTGTGTGATTTATCTGCGTTCTTTCTTTTCCTTCCCAATATGAGCAACAGCAACGACGGTTGGGGTAATGTTCTACTCGATCGAATCGTAGGAGGTTGTCAACTCTAAATGGTGCCATTGCATAGGTTCACAAGATGGTGGCTGGAATGCTCCACATCAGAGTCGAAATCGTGGTGGCAACAACAACAGCAGGTGAGTTGATCTGTCAATGGTATTCAGAACGATTCCGTTTTGCTTACAACAAGCATCGAATTCGTCCCTGTATAGATCTGGTGGCAATAGGTATATTTAGCTTCTATGGTTACCTTGTTTCCTATACTAAATGGTATCTTATCATAGCTGGGCCGACTATGCTCGTTCAAATACGCGTGGAGGCATGCGTCAAGGACACGACAAGTACGTGGATACACAACCATCATTCTGGTGCATGAATAATAACTTTATATTGATAGTCGATCACGGCAAGATCATGAAGGAAGAGGACGCGGACGCGGACGTGGATCACGAGGCCGTGGTGGTGGTAGAGGGAGGTAAATCATTTTGGCTTTGGATATTAAGGCAACCGTTTTGCTTAGTATTCTTTTTATAGCCACAATAACTCAGGATGGGGTGCTTCACAACAACCTTCAAGTGCGGGAGGAAGTTGGGGTGATTCTAGGTATTGTATTTGGTCAAATGAAGTTGAAGCATGCTGCTGACTCTATCCTATTTGCAGTGCTTCATGGGGAAACAATACGACCCAAGGCAGCAGTACATGGGGTACTCCTACAAATAGGTACTTTCGTATCAACCATTTTCATTGTGTGTATATCACTAATATCATTGTCCTAAAGCCAAGGATCCTCAGGAGGCTGGGAAAGTACAACCGATTCAAGCGGATGGGGAAACAATGATCGCCAAAGGTAGGCTATCATTTATTTCTATTGGGAAAGTTATTCATTATGATACGCTCTTTTTCTTTATTAGTAACGCTGAAGCAGTCGGATGGGGTGATAAGGACTTGAACGGATGGGATGCAGTGAAAGCAAGGTAGTTACGTTTGGATGGCAGAGATACATTTGTGGATTCTGATGGTATCAATCTTAGTCGTGAAAAGCCTTCGAATGCATGGGCGAGTGAGAAGAAAGCATCCGGCTGGGGATCAGGTACCACCACGTACGATACAATCCAACGCTTATGAATGCCGCTATATTTATGTCAAATCATCATTTATTAGGGCTCGATCTCATACCACCAGCAATACCGATAATGATGGTTGGGGAAGCAAGGCAGCATCAACAAGTGGCAATTGGGGCAATGATACTGGGTAAGTGATAGGATAACATACAACGGCTATATACTTACTCAATATGGATGTGATTAGCAACCAACAACACAATGACGGATGGGGAAGCAAGGCAGCATCAACAAGTGGCAATTGGGGCAATGATACTGGGTAAGTGATAGGATAACACGTAATGGCTATATACTTACTCATATGGATGTGATTAGCAACCAACAACACAATGACGGCTGGGGAAGCAAGGCAGCATCAACAAGTGGCAATTGGGGCAATGATACTGGGTAAGTGATAGGATAACATACAACGGCTATATACTTACTCAATATGGATGTGATTAGCAACCAACAACACAATGACGGCTGGGGAAGCAAGGCAGCATCAACAAGTGGCAATTGGGCCAATGATACTGGGTAAGTGATAGGATACATACAACGGCTATATACTTACTCAATATGGATGAACATTAGCAATCAACAACATAATGACGGCTGGGGAAGCAACGACAACAATGCCACTGCTGCTGCAACAGAAACCACCAGCGAATGGGATAAGCCGATTGATTCCAAGTCCAGCTTCGGTGTCTCTGGTACCTGGGGTAATATGAAGCTCACGGAGCCTGCATCATCATCAACCAAGAATGATTATCGAGGAACATGGGAAAATGGTGTACACAAGCTTGCGCCTCGAGATGAGAAGATGGAACTTAAGCTCTTTGGAACGGCTGATGACCATGAGAATATGCACACTGGAATCAACTTTGATCAGTATAAGAACATCCCCGTTGAAACCACAGGCGACAATGTTCCTCCTTGCATTGAAAAGTTCACCAGTCCTCCCATTGATGAGCACCTATTGAGCAACATCCGCCTCGCTCGTTATACGACACCTACGCCTGTACAAAAGTATGCCATCCCCATTGTTACTGGAGGCCGTGATCTTATGGCATGTGCACAAACAGGTAAAATCGATGAGAAATCCTTCTTGATGGATATATGGATTGACATGTGTAATTAGGTTCTGGAAAGACAGCAGGCTTCTTATTCCCGGTCTTATCCAATTTATTCTTCAATGGACCTACCACCCCACCTAAGAAAGCTACCAACAATGGCTATCGCAGAGCATATCCAGAAGTCCTTATCCTTGCACCAACTCGAGAATTGGCATTACAGATTTATACGGAGGCTAGGAAATTCACTTATCGCTCATTTGTACGACCATGTGTGGTGTATGGTGGTGCTGATATTGGTATGCAATTACGTCAGCTGGATCGTGGATGCCATTTGCTCGTTGCCACTCCAGGTCGTCTTGTGGATATTCTCGAACGTCGTCGTGTATCACTTGCCAATGTCCATTATCTTATCCTTGATGAAGCGGATCGTATGCTTGATATGGGTTTCGAACCACAAATTCGACGTATTGTTGAGGAAGAAGATATGCCCCCTGTGGCTCAACGTCAAACGCTCATGTTTTCAGCAACCTTCCCAGAAGACATTCAGCATCTCGCACGTGATTTCCTCAAAGAATACGTATTCCTGTCAGTAGGTCGTGTTGGTGCAACTTCGGAAAATATTGTTCAGACATTATTGTAAGTTATACACAAACACAGGTTTTATTCAAGGCAGCATGTTGACATGTGATATGCATAGGCTGGTGGAAGAAGGAGAGAAACAATCCATGATTGTAGACGTTCTCAAGGATGACAAGGAGCAAGGGTTGACGATCGTATTTGTTGAAACGAAGCGTATGGCGGATATGGTTTGTGACCATTTGAGGAGTAATCGACTTCCAGCCACTGCCATCCATGGTGATCGTACGCAGATTGAACGGGAGGAAGCCTTACAAGCATTCAAATCGGGAGCTGCGCCTATCATGGTGGCTACTGCTGTTGCTGGACGTGGTTTGGATATTCCGAATGTGACACACGTTGTATCTTTCGACTTGCCATCAGACATTGACGACTATGTGCATCGTATTGGACGTACAGGACGTGCTGGAAACGTGGGTCGTGCCACTACATTTTTCACCAGAGGCAATCGATTCCTTGCACCACGTATGCTCAAGCTCCTAAAAGAAGCCAAGCAAGAGATTCCATCATGGCTAGAAGAATTGGCACAAGAAGCTGAATCGGCACCTCCACCGCCTATGGGAGGATTTAGAGGTGGTCGTGGTGGAAGACGAAACGGTGGACGACGAAGACAAGATGACGATGACGATTTCGGTGGTTTTGGTCTTCGGCTTTCCAATGTCAAATTCAATTAGCATGAATGGTCATTATGATGGGGATTGATTAAAGTGTCAACTACACCTACTTTTCGGGAATGCTGCATTTGCCATGGAAACAACGGGGCATTTTTTTCTTTGGACCCTTTCTTTCTCCCCCGTATACTATTCCTCTTTTTCTTTTTCTGTGCATATCATGTTGATCTGCAAAAGCCAAACCATAAAATACATTCTTCTCACCGCTGCGCTCTATGGACCATGTGTACTTGCCAATCGAGGTTCAGGAAAGCAACAACTGGATACATACGATGATACAACAACATCAATTTCCTCGTCCTCGTCCTCCTCTTTTGCATCCGAATCTCTCCAATCAATGAGCATGTCGCATTCTTCTTCAATGGATGATGAACTTGCAGAGGAATCATCTCATGCCGATAGTGTCAATGAACGTATTGGAATCACCATCCCTGATAATAACAAAAACAACACCCTTGAAGAGGATGACAAGCCTCCCCATCATCATCAACAGCAACAACATGAAGAAGAAGAACAAGAAGCAGCACCTATGGAAGAAATGCAAGAGTCAACGCAACCAGAAGATGACACACAAGGCGATATCATTGAAAACAGCAGTAAGCATTCTCACCATCATCCACCTTGTCCAATGTAACAATTATTTTCCGTTTCGACTTTGTCCATGCTTACAAATGGCTGGGTTTTCTACAGATGTCGACCTTGACCCAGCAGACGACCCATCTTCCCCAACACGTGTCCAAGCAGATGCCAACAATAACAACCCATCCGCTGCTTTGCCTCCAGTGCCCCAAATCACAGGTTGTAGAACACAAGGCCAAATTGCTGTAACCTACGTAAGATCATATTTGCCAATGTGTGCATACATAGCCACCAAGCTAATTATACCCATCCTATAGAGCGAAGGCCCTAGTGATGCTACTGCCAGCATTGTTCGTCAGCTGACCCATGCGGATGCACGAGCTAACTTTTTCGTTAATGCTTCATGGTAACACAAATCATGCACACCCAATGTTTTAGCGTATGCATTAACTTTTTTTCTTTCAGGTTGTATACCCAACAATATGCCATGGTTGTGCAAAACACGTATAAAAAGGGCCACTTGATTGGAATGACCTATCGCGTCAAGAATGATGATTCCTCAAAGTTGACGGATGAAGAGCTCAAGCACGACATCTTGGAAAAGGCTCATATTATTGAAACGTTGATTCATGTTGCACCAAAGTATGTACGATTGCATTACACCGAACCTGAGGATACACGCACCGAGCACATGTTGCAAAAGTTGGGCTTTGTCCTTGTTGGATACAATTTGGATAGCCAAGATTACGCCCACAAGCCAGTGGAGGAAGTATATAGCTCAGCATTCCGCCGCTACAAGGAAACCTATGATGCAAAGGGTTCATTCATTTCCGTGCAATATGACATGCCTGGCACGATCAAGGCATCCACTGTTCCTCATATGATCAATACCATCAATGATGAAGGCTATACCATGGTGCGTCTCGATGGATGCCTCAACGATCCAAAGCCGTATAAGAAATGTAAGTTTTGAAGAAGGGAAGGAAAAACATAAAGCGCTAATGAAAAGTATCATAGCTGCTGAGAGTTTGGAATATGTCTCAGACGAATTCTCTTTCAACACCAAAGGCTATCATCAAGGACAAAATGCAGTCGCTCAACACGTGATTGAGGAAGCTGAATCAGAGGATAGAGAGCGTGAAAAGACCGGCTATGATAACAATGAACCGGAGAGCAAAGCGGCCATTGTCTCGAATGGCACATGGATGGGTGCATTGTTCATGGCTTTGATGGCCGTCATTCATCCACTTGTATAAAACGCTTGACTCATTCTTCCTATATATCCTATTCTTACCCTATAGTATATCCCCTATCCCCAAATAAAAGAGACTTAAACATATTCATAATATACAAAGCGGCTTTCTTGGTGCTCATTGTACAAATGTTTATCATTCATTGTGGGACGTATTAGTATAAAGAGGCGACACGTCGATTACAAAGCAAAAACATAGAAGGGTATTATGGTACATACGATATAGTAGCTGGCAACAATAGGGGTGCCATTACCAATGACAGCTGACTACAGCCGATATCGAAAATTAACATTTTCCACATCCGTCATGTCGACTGTTTCTTGATGTTCATGTTTTTCTGGTACTTTCATCATCCGATCTCGCGCATCGTTTACTCGTTTCATGGTTGCTCGAATGTAAAGAAACAAGAGGGCCGATATCAATTGAAAGCTTGCATACGAAGCAAGGCCAGCGACGTATTGTGGTTTTTGCCCTTCCACAAGCATAAGAGGTCCACAAAAATTTCCTATGCCAAATGACCCAACCATAAATGTAAAGTAGGTGATCTTTTTTGAATAACCAGCCACGTTGCTACTTATACTGCTGATCATCAAAACAGGCACCAATGCCCCGGTAAACAAGTAAATGCCTGCAAGTTTTGGAAGGTCTTGTGGGATCGCCATCAATAGCAGCGCACTGATCATGCATAATAAACATGCACATGCTGCTGTCAAACATTGACCGAGCCATCGTCTACATGCGTAAATGCCGATAATGAGGTAGAATGCATCGCTGACACCTCGTGATCCTGCTATCAACAATGATGCAGCTTTCTGATTCTTAAGCATTAGTCATCCGATTGCAGTATTTTTAAAAGGACATACCGAGTATCCCATGGTCACAATGATTTGCGTTGAAAATGTTACCATGCACCCGTTTTGCGTCATGATCATAAACCCAATCAAGGTGTAGCAATACAGCCGTGGTTCTCGTAGTGCCTCCAAAACGTGCTGTTTTTTGATAGTGTGTGAGTGGACTGTGGCGTTATCGCGAGCCCTTTCTTCCGTAATAAGTCGTTCGTGATCCGTTAGACGCAGCCATTTTGAATATGGCGTGTCAGGCATAAAAATGAAACAAGCTATACCGACCACCACAGTAGCAATACCATAAAGGATCATGCACCTTCGAAATACCGAATAAGGGATCACACATGTAGATAAGGATGCTCCGATACTATTACCATTTCCATGCACTAAGCCCAGCGACCTGATTCATCTGGCTTATGCCATAGCTGATCAATCCACCAAGAATGGTTGCAATAGCATTTGAAAAATGCATGATAGCATTGATCACGGGTTGCTCTGATCGGCGATACAGTGTACTGATGACTAGAGCCAATGCAGGATTGCCACTCCCTTCGGCCATACCCAATAGGAATCTTAATGCTGCAAGCTGTTCAAAGTTGTTGACAAGTGCTATGCAGCCTTCAAGGATCCCCCATAAGATCACTGTAAACCCCAGGTACTTTGCAATAGGTAGCTTGTGCATAAAATAAGCATTGGGTAACTATCAAGAGGTTGTGTTGGCGTCATTACCTTTTCTCTTTTTCCCACACACACACACACACGCACACATTACCTGAAATGCAAGATTGCCAATAAAAACAAGGGCGCTTGCCCAGCTGAATTCACTTTGAGTCATATGGGTATCTTGAAAAATGCCCATTGCCACAGCATTAGCAAGAGTCCCCCGGTCGCTAAACTGTGCTAGATTAGAGAGGGCGGTAAAGAGCGTGATGAGGAGGTATTTCTTCTTGTACCTGGAAAAATTGGATCAACATCATCAGCGGTACGAATGCCACATTGATCTTGCACAACAGCTTTCGCTCATTATCCAATGCTGTCATAATGAGCTCATACGTGGAATATCGGAAAGGAGGAGAAGAAAAGGTGAAATTGATCCTTCATGGGATGAAGAAGCTTTTGAAATCAAAGGCATCCCTTATTACAAATTCGGTTGCAGATGCATCATGCATGCACCTCGCGCATGTTTTTTACCCCTTAGTAGAAGGCCGATTGTTATCCAGGTAGTGGTAGCGATCTAATGGGGATGAGTGATAGCATCACATTACACGCGTAATGGACGTGGATATAGAGAATTGTCAAATCACTCATTATTGGTGCAGGTTACAATAATGGTCTATGGTGGTTATACCATTTGGATCGTCATTTGGTATGTATACAATAAAAGATGAGGACAAATGATGATAAAGCATCATGCATATCTATGCATGAAAGATGCTATACGTTCATTCTTCTTCATTACCGGATAATCCATTTATCATTCTTCTTATTTGGTGTATGAGATGAAAGGGATGAGACAATAGCACAAAGAAAGTACAATGAATATGGATTTGGCTCCCATTTATGGTATCAAAGCACAATGCAGACGCAGCTGCGGTAAAAAGTGAGGCTTATCTTTCTTCTCAGTGTGCAATATAGTAGTAGGCAAACATGGTGAGCCCTGCATTTAAGCGATTGACTCTCTCCACAATAAGCACCCATTCCAGGACTCAAAGCATTACGTCCTACCCTTTGTAGCCACCTACACATACCACTAGGACTTTGCCATAAAAGAGGGACAAGCCGAGTTTGTGGCACTGTCACAACCAATGTCCATGATACGTTCATCTTATGTTTGGACCATGTGTGTAACAAGAAGGGAGATCTCTCATTCTTTGTGTCACCGTAGCATTATATATGTTGAACAAGCGCACCAAACAAATACAAGAGTACCCGCACCTCCATGCTTTAATGGCAAAAGCTTAAAGTAACCACCACACACAATCAACGCTAGACCATATTGGAGACCTTCGACGATCGGCTTTTTGAACGTCTTTATGCTCCCCGCCAAATGCTACACACCCTATCATCGTTCAACCGTGTACGATCCACTGCTTTGGGTCATGGATCGAAGTTCAAGATTCAAGTATTATCTATATGGGCGGGATCATTGATGTGCGTCATTTGAAAGACACGACGACAACAACAACAGCGCACACGTACCTTTCCGTACATGGGAAAAGGAAAAAAAGGGCTTTGGGGAAATGAAATTGCTGACATTGGTGGGCGTATATGTAAACACGCTAGAAAGCATGGTCTTTTCTTCCAATATGGGATTGCGTACACGTAAAAACGACGCGTCATGTAATCAATTCATTACATTTTTCCTTTATCGTTGCCTCGTTACCTCGTATCCATGGGGATTTAGCAAGTGACAAATGTGCGAACGTGACACATACAAGGGCTAGGCTTGTCAAACAAGATTTATCTTTTTCGTTGACCGTTTTTCTCACTCTGATACAGGATGATGTAACGCTCTGACAGCATTGATAGGTGATAAATAGACCAGAATCATGGATGTGAGAGAGTCGTACATGTATCATCAGGTTTTTTCATTTCCTCTTACAAGACCTGTTGGAAGAATCCCCTAAGTAGCAACAGGATCATGGTTGTCTGGACTGCCTAACTTTATTGACAGGATGAGAGAAAAGGGCGCAAATCTTACTTTTTCGTAATCAGCTAGGTTTTTTTTGGGGGTGGGGGAGATCAAGAAAGAAAATACGTTAAGGGGGACTATACCACTTACAAGGCAACCAACCCGGGAGCTTTTGTGTATGTGTAATCTGTCAACACGAGCGCTTTGATCACCTTTTTCGCCCACTTTCTGACTACTAAATAGGAATGCAGGCCAGCTTTACTACTTGCTGACTTGCTAGCGTAACACACACACATACACACAAGACCCTCGCACACTTTTTTTTTGGCACTTGTTATATAAACAGGCCATGGGACAAGAACAATCTGATTTTGGCGCTTCCTTTTTTTTCTTTTCCTTTTTTTCTTCTTTGCTTATCTCTCCCTGTTTATCCACACCACGCAATGGAGAGCGAAAGAGGACCTCTTCGAAAGCGTGTCCAGAATCGTTTAAAGCAACTTTTGCGTCGCGCACCACTACCAAAACGCTTTCGTCGCAGTCATGCTGGTCATGACACAAACACCACCAATGATAATAATAACGAGCATCACAATATTGCGAGTCGCTCAATGCAACATGAGACGCATCATCCTTCTTCTCCTAAAGAGAACAAAAAGAAAAAGCGCTTATCTACTACTACACGCCAAATGACTGACCGAATCGTCGGATTACACAATAAGATCTTGAGACGCAAAAGCACAACCAAGGCACAGTCACCAACATCATCACAACCAGGACATCACCATGACAGTAAAGAAATACAACAAAGAACGACAACAACTCCACCACAACCACAACCACCAACGCAGCATGAAGAAGAGCTGGAAGATGACGATGATGATGACGATGATGGTTTGGAAGAGATGAAACAAACGCTGTGCGGTTGTGGACGTCCTCTTAAAGCGGGGTGGTTTTGTTCCAACTGCCGATTGGTATGTCCCACTTGTCATCGTGCACTTGGACAAGGTGAACAATGTAGTCGCTGCCAAATTGATACCAGTGGCGATGGTGGTGGCAATGATGGCAAAGCTACAACCAATACTACTACTACGGCCACTACTCCCAATCCCACTTCTGCTGCTGGTACAGCCCCTTCATCATCTACAAGCCACTAAAAAGTGTGCACTTAACACATGCTAGAATATCTCTTTCTCCCTGTAACGCATTACCAACATACCTCATCGCTCCCCCCAAATGCTAGTTACCCCCTTCTTGTTTCTCTCTCTCTCTCACTTTCCTCTCTTTGCCCCCTTTTTAAGCTGCTAGTCAGCATCCCCGCATCTAATACCTGTATCTACTAAATCTACGTTCGTTGATTTTCCCTCTTTTTTACTTTTCACGTAAGGACATGAATAGGATAGGATGTGATGATGTATGTAATAGTAATGGTGTGCGTATATAATTTACATGTTGTGTGAGTGTGTGAGTGTGTATATGTATGTGGTGGTGGTGTAGGGTTGTCATGGCAACTCGCCATCTTCCATTTCGGAAATACGCCGCTTAGCCGGGGGATGTTGTTGTTGTTGATTATCCTCAGTATACATAGTAGTGGTGCTGGTATCCATAGGTGCCGCATCCGTTGATTGTGGTAACTGCTTTTTCCGGCGACCCATACGATGACTTGAACCAACCATACCCACGTGAACAGCCGTTGAATCATCATCCTCATCCGCAATGGTAGTTAAGCCATCGTCAAAGCCAAAATGATACCATCGTACATAGGTGTTCTCGGACTTTTTAGCCTTGCATCCATGGAAAAGTGCCAGGCTAATCGGTGCATCATTGACATGTGGCGGTTCATTTGCATAATCCTCGAGCCATTCCCACGGTCTTGAAGTATTCATGCATCCTTCCACATGTTGCTGTTGCTGTTGTGGATCGGTCGTGTTCGGTGCTCCAAGTAAGGACGATGCAAGACGCGTGTTGGATAAGTAGATGTTGTGTGCCAAGTAAGGTAGAATCCGCTTCACTCGGGAATGGAACATGGCTGGCAATCCACTCAATTCTCCATGCATTGACTATCGTAATACACGTAAGACAAAAGAAGGACGACGTTGGGTACCATTTCACTAAACTTACCGAGAGATGGCCAAGGCAAACCTTTTTCAAGTCAAAGTGGATCTCTACATACAAAAAGATGTGTATAATCAGTAACCTCACTTTGGCGATAAAAAAAAGGCGTAAGCCATACCAGCATCAATAAGTAGCGACACTAAATCCAGCACAAACTCAAATATGCGTTCTTGACTACCGTTGCCATGGACGATAGCATTCTATTTACGAGTGTTAGAGAATCATCATCATATGGAATTTGTCATACTTGTGCTTACCCCCAAAAGTGACACTAGCAAGCGGAGCCATTCCACAATGTTACATTGGTCAGCATTTGGATGTTCCCAGATCAATGATGCAAAAGGAACGAGCAATCGTAATCTGAGTAAGAGGCTGATACGGATATCTTCAATCATCACACGAGGTCCATTTTGAGCTTCGTCTTCGGGTAGTCCTTCGGTTTTAAGCATCGTCACTGCCAAATCCTATAAAGAGTTGTTAAATGATCGGTGCACCAAACCAACCATTTTCATTATACTCCCCACCCCCCAAAAAAATGACTTACCAAGCTTTTAGTCAATTGGATTGCTCGGGATGCTTCCGCAAAGGACACGTGGTCTGTGCTTTCCATCACTATGTATACCGCCATGGCGTTCCTGAATTGCTCCACTTGACGGAAGAGTGCCTTGACAAGGGCAATCTTTTGAGTATCGCTCCAAACATCTTTGGCCAACAAGTGTTGCATGATTTGGAAGAACGCTTGGCATTGTTGAGCATATTGTTCTCCACTGTAAAAGCAGGGTGCATTGTCTTGATCAGGATGGCTGTTGTGGCTCTTTAGTAGAATCGTATATGGGAATCCAAGCTCCTCAGCACCGTGACCTTCCAACATGCGAATGCCATGATCCAATAATGCCAATAGGACTGGTTTTCGTAGTCCCTGGATGAGATTGCGTAAAAACTCGAATCGGCGTTGGTGGGCGTTTGTCGCAATTTCATTATCGTTTGCCGAAAACAATACTGCATCAAAATAAAATCTCACAAACAAATCCAATTCCTTGTTGGAGTCGATTGAAGCTGTTGGTGCAGGACTTGAATCCAGGTCCATTGAAGTCGTATTATTTGGTACGACATTATCAGAAGCAGTGGCGTTCACATTGGCTGTCGTTGCTGCTGCTGTTGTTGTTGTATCATCACCACCACTACCACTAGTGCCATTCTCATTTTGTGATGTTTGTCTTGTGGATGAGGATGGCGGTAACATGATATTATCCAAAAGCAAATTGAACTGCACACGACACTGCTCTTCATTCCATTGGCTGAGATTGGCGAATACTGCTTGCAGTCTTTCTCCAAAGTTGGGCTCCATATCGTTACTTGTCGGGACCATATTATCCGGTGCCTCATTAACAAGGTTCATGTTGCCACCAATCAACTCGTCAACAATGCTCAGCATCTTTTTACGAATTTCATCACCGCCATCTACAGCGTTGCTGCTGGTGCTGCTGGTGCTGCTACTGGCAGGGGTTGCCCCTGTTGTAAAGTGTTGATAAATACTATTGACATCACGTGTGCAAGCTCGACGGAACCAATCCAGCTGGAGCAAATCAGTGCGTAGCTTGACGAGATCTTGAATAAGCAGGCTGCTGAATGGAAGATTCGAAACAATGGTGATCGTGCTATGGACCAATCCAAACATGTTATCGAGCTTGTCGAGATTGGTTGCAAGTTGGGGTTGCCGTTGCACCTGCAGCTGGAAAATCTCTTCAGCACGGAGCATCCAAAGACTATCAAGAACATCTTGATTCTCATCCATCATGGGATTCATCTCTGGATTCTCTTGTACAACGAGCATGCGCACCAAAATGATAATATTCTTGCATAATTGGCGTAATGGTTGAGTCTCTGTAGTTGTTTCAGTCCATTGAGATTCGCATCGTTGTTGTGCTTCGATACCAATGGTGTTGAGCCAGGGGAGACAAAAGTGTTTGAGTATCAAATCAATGCTGATAAGGCGACGTGTCACAAGTAACGCAAAAAACAATGGAAGCCACGTGTGCTGCTCATAAAGATCATCCAATTTGGTAGCACTTGATGGGCTACAGTGCTGCTGTAACCATTGTATCACTACTTGATCCAATTGCCCCGTCAATGTCGTTTGCTCAGCTATTGCCTTGATGAAATCGACCATGGAGCATACTCGTCGTCGGAATTCGTATATCGGTTCTCTTTGATCAACGCTTAGGGAGGTGATTTGATTCTCCTTGGCGTATTGGTGTAATGTATCAAACGCAGTCGCAAACACTGATTGTAGGAAATTGTTCACGGCACCAGCATTGTGTCCTCCTCCACCCACAGCATCCACAGCATTCTGCACACTGCTCATTGTTGGGTTGCGCACAAGCTGATTCAACTCGCTAGATAATGATGTGGAATTTCGGCCCATATACTGTGTACGTGCTTTTGGCTAAAATAGGTTTAGTTTGAGCACCTCGTTTGTATATGCAAACGCACACTCGCCAGTCTTACCTTAAAATGGAGATCTTGTTGGAGTTGGGCACGTTTCTCATCACTTATCCAATAACCTTCTTGTACCAATTGGATCATGTACATCATCAGGCAGCGTTCTCGTATACCTTGGCTCTGCAAGGTTTGATGCTAATATTTGTTCCCAATCAATGATCCATGCCTTTGTTGTGATCTCTCTCTCTCTTTTTTTTTCATCCACCTACCTTCTCCCAAATCGCATCCGCTATACGTTGTCCATAGTTGAGCAGCTTCCACACACTGGCATGCTTTCGAAGGGTATCAATAGCGAATGAATAAAGTACACGCTCGTTGCTCTTGTCCAACATCCACAATGCAAGGTCAATGACGTTTAAATAATCCTGCGCATACTCCAAGATCTTGATGATGGTAACGTATTGTCGAGTATTCAGCAAACAGGAACCAGGGGATGTCATGACCCTCCAATTGTCCTCGCCAATCCTAGAATATTGTTAAACGTAAGAACAAAGAATACCCTTCCATGAATGAAGACTTACGGAACGCTCTTAACAACGAATCGTTTCACTTCAGGGATAAGCCAATCGGAAGTAAAGCTCAGCACGGTGTATCTGGTGGCATTGCGTAGAATGGGTAATATTTCGCTTTCAAGTGCATTGGATAATGAAAGCTCGAATGATTGTATGCTGTCATCAGTGATTGGTTGTGTGAGGTTGATTGCATCCTTTCCAAACAATGAATCAATGTCATTGTCATTCTCAGCGTCTTCGGGTGAAGCTGCCACTGCAAATTTCGCTAGGCGTTTCAGCTGTAATAACGTGTCATCCTCCACTTTGCTTGCTTGGCCATTGCGGGTACCATAAAGAGCGATACGACGTTGATTTACAAGGGATGATGGTGCTGGTGTTAATGGAAAGGCGGCGAGGTAATTGAGACAGCAACGTGTGCGTGGTTGATCACGCTTTTTGGGCTCCAAGTCGCCTCGTGCAATAAGTCGAAGAAGGAACTTTTGAAATGAAAAGAGTTGCATCCGAATCAGGGTATCAAACAAAAGAATCACTGCTGGTTTGGGTTCATCCACTACTAGAAGAAATAGGTGAGCTAATGAGTAATGTAATCAAAACCACCATTGTATACATACCTTGATCCATTGTCATATCAACGTTAACCATATCGTTGCTATCTTGTCCATGCCCAGCATCCATCTCAGCATCCAACCATTTGATCAGCGCATCTTGTAGTGTGCTATTGCGTAGAGTAGCATTTTGATCACGCCAACGCAGCAAAATGGACGCCACTAAGTATGGTCGCCAATGACCATGACGTGAATCGCTGGTAGCCCATCGACACATGACGCTAACGTGTTGCTGGATTGAATCAATGGCACCTTTGGTGGAACCGAAAATAGCATGCGACGCTGTTGTAGCTGTTTGTCCACGTAAATCCACCCATCCATTCTCATTGATCATTAATCCCGTGCCGCTGTCAATGTTGCGTCCAATGCTATCCAATATTCGTATCACTTGATCTTCGGTCATTTGACCCTGTCGTGGTGCATCATCTGAAGTTGTATCCGATGTGGTGTCCACAGCTTGTAACATGGCTTTGCTGCTGTCAGAGAGTAGCTGATTCTCCTCAAGTGTCCCACAGAATACTTCATTGCGAGCCTTCACCATTGTCCAATATCGCTGCATCACGTGACATATATCGGGTAATGCGACGGATGGATCCTTGAGAGTCTCTTCACCGAATATTGTATCAAATACGTGGCGATATTGATGATAAAGCTTGGGTATGACAAAGACGTCGGGCGTAGATAAGAATAACGACTAGAGGAAGCCTTGTATGAGACGCAATGATCCTCCCTTGCATGAAAATCGCATATTACCTGCAGTAATCGCTCAATGTGCTTTTTGATCTCTCCATACACCCATAATAATCCTTCATTGGTCACTTGGCCCAAGACTTGAGTAAGCTATGGTGCATCCTATTAGCAAATGCAAGCCACGTCAATAATCAAAACATTTACCGCATGATACGTCTTGACCAAGGGTTTGATAAGCATATGCATGAGTGCTCGATTCGTTCGATATTCATCAAGGTAGTCTTGTACAACATATGTCAGCATGAGCCATATGACTTCAAACGAATGGTGCTTTGATAAAACGTCCAGGCTCCACTTCAAAAAGTAACGCTGATCAAGTAAGCCTTCACAATATTGCCATTTTGTCAACTGAGTGGTGTAGGCCCATCGTTGCTCAAATTGGGCTCGACTCTCAGGTGATGACCAGGCCCTCGACATATTCTCATGGCTGTTGGGTGTGCTTGGATGAATCTTAAAACCTCGACCTGTCGTTACGGCTGATGATGAAGTGGAGCTCTGAGGGGGTGATAGCTCCTTCAATTGCTTTTGTAGATGGTTGGTGACTATTTTGGTCCAAGCTTTGTGATGAGGGTCGTCACCATGGTTGTTTGTATTACGTTGACTTTGCTAAGGGAAAAAAGGAGGGAGAAAGTTAAACTAAATGACATTTATACATACGAGGAGGAGGAGACAACTTACCATTTCAGATAATCCGACGACTTTGATATACCATGTTGCACGTAAAAATGGCACTTGTTTTGCTGCTAGTGTCTCCAATAACTTTTCATTCTTGAAGCCATGCGGGACATTACGAGCAAGCTTGCGTAAGGGAATAGTCGAATTGGCCAAATCTTGCATCCATTGCTCCTTTTTGGGTTCTATCAACGTAGATCGCATGGGTGGCCTGAAGGTGGAAGGTCTATCAAGAATGATTAGAGATTGATTGTGAACGTATAATGAGCATTGAATAGATGTATGTCTCTTACCCTGTAATGCGAGCAGCGTTCTGTTTCCTTTTTAAAACGTCGACAGCAAATGCACCTAATTCACCCAATATCCGTTGATCATCTTGTAGCTTGCTGTACACCATATCATGAGCACAGGTATGTTCATTCTATCATACATGTATGCCATGTTAGAGGGATTGTTGTGATTGTTGTATATATATAAATCACGTTACCGAAACAGCAGGTCGATCGATGAAACCATTGCGAACATTTGATTCAGTCATGATATCCTCATCTTGATCTGGTCGTTGATAATACATGCCGGGATAGCCAAGCGACTTCATTGATTTGCTTAGAGGTTGTGGAGTAGGCGGCGTAAGGGTATATTTCCTGAGCTGGAGATTGTTGCTGTGACGATGACGATGATGCTGATGTGTGCCATATCTTTGAAAATTGGGTGAATGATAACCAGGCGACGATGAAGTGGAATAGGGCGATGTCATTGTGGGCGTTGTTGTATGATATAATGATCCTCCTGCCATGCCTGTAGACGATACTGATGCTGCTGACAGATTCTGCGACGACGATTGGGCTGGTCCACCTCCATTGGGTGTCGGGAAAGGCACGCCGAGGTTGTTACCACTATTGCCATGGGGATTGCCGCCGTTGGTGGGTCCAACATTGGGATACGATGCATTCATCGAGGCATAACGCGTGAATTGTGCTATAGGTAAGAGTGTTAGTACTACTTGCACGATCTCTAATCCAACCATATCCCTTTCTCCTTGTCAACATTGCTATGCAAACTGTCTATGGTATACTGCCATTCAAATCTTGCTTCCAACTGTGGCATGACGACCATGAGAGCAGCAGCAACACTAGCATGGACAACAACAGACTCTCTTTATCCTCGACATACCTTGATGCCTGCCAGCCATGGTAAGGCAAGATTGCAAAACTCCCGGAATGGAGAGGGTTTAAAAAGATAAAGGTGTACAAAAAGGTAAGTTCCAGCGTTGCCCCACCCATTCAACGATCATAATGCGGGACGGTGATTGGTGTGCCTGCAACCCACTGCCACTACGTCAAATCAAACAATGTCGTTTATCCTTCTTTGTTTCTACACACTAGTCACTGAATACATCCTATTCATCAACAACATTCTCGTATATGAATTTAAAGGCTGTTGATATAGTAATTTCCTTGAATAAACATACAATAAAAGGAGCATCTTGATTATCTCAATCCTTTGATTCAACATCATGTATCCCATTATTCATCATTCACAATCAAAGTCAAATAAATGGTTAAGGATGGCATATACACAACACAATTTATGAGTCTCATAGCAACAAAAGGTGGAAAGTGAAACAAAGAATGGAAAAATATCATGATCATCGCTTGCTACGTGCAACATAGTATTGGCATTCATCAGCGTTTGGGAGTCCTTCAATCATTTCAGCTACGAGTGGGTTTGAGAATCCAAAGTATTCTGGTCCAGAGATGGCATTGGCCGATTCTCGCTTTCGTACTTCATTTGCTCGTTTGATGACTGTTGCCCATGCGCCTGTTGGTGTTCGGGCTGAAATGACTTCTTCATCAGGTGTATCAGCTGCCTGGATAGTAAACTTGTATACCAACAATATTAGTCACTCCCAGCTCTTGCAAAGTGCTTATGCTTTTTACTTACTGTTGGGCCATCACCACCATCCTCAACTTTGCAGGTATATGTCGATTGGTTCTCAGCATCCACCATGCTCATGTATGTCCTTATATACCCAAATTCAGCATATGCCTTGATCATGGATCAATATTCTTACCGCTCAACTGTGTATCCCACTGGCCAAATGTATCGCTCACTATGGAACCCTGGTCTATCATGGATCACCGTGCCAAGCTCGATCACCTTGAGAGATGCAATTTGAACAGGCAAAATTACCTTTCCATCTTCATCTCGAGCCACCTCCACAGGTTTCCTTCTTGATCCAGTTACTCGTCTGGGTTTGGGGGTTGGTGATACACCTGCTATATAACATGCATCATAGCCATTAGAGATGAAACGCACACCACGTGATATAGTAGAGTGGGATAGTAACTTACCCATTTCTTCATCCTCATCTACCAGCTGATCCACCTCATCGTCTTCGTCCATCATGTCAGCATCTTCTTTTAAAATGCCAGATTTGGCCGTCTCCCCCGTCTCACCAGTTGCAATGGTATTCCCGATACCCCCATTTTTGTTGGCTCGCATCAATCGCCTAATGTTCATAGACACATACTTAGTATACAAGAGATGCAATAATAAACATGCCATGTTCACCTTTTCTCTTGCTGAAGTACTTGTACTCGACGGTTGGCTTTATCCACAGATGATTGTGCACTCTTGTGTTTCTATAATAAACGACGTGGGGAATGAGCCCGTAGTCAACGGATACCATAGCTTGAATGTCAAAGTGTGTGCCTACCGCAATGAATTCAAGAACCTTGTGTTTCAAACGTCTGTACTTGCGTTGCTTGGGATCTTCCCAATGAGTCTCGGTTTGAATGCCAACGTCAACGCCTTTTTGATTTGTCATAGCGATCAGAGAAGATATGTAGTCGTAGTGGGTTTTGACACGAAAAAGAAAAAGAGAGCAAAATCAAATAGGTTGACACGAACTCCTACCATTGGACACACACACAAGCGCGATACTCTCGCGCCTAATGGCTGACAAGCTCACATGGCCAACCATATGCACTTGTAACTATACGCCATTTTGATTTGAATATCAATTGAATGGGTGTTTTGAAAGGATACATGGTCATGGAAAGCTATCCAAAGTCGCGTATGGTTCATTAAGGGCATCTGAAATGACTTTGTGGTTCCTCTAACACGCATCTTTATTTGTCATTCTTTTGGTACATGCGAGAATTCCCATATCCATCACCTTCGTGATAAAGCCATTACGTTGTATTACATGCTGATCATAGATCTAGATGTTATTCAACCCGTATCCCTTTCACCTTCAACATTATAAACATGGTGCTTATCGCCTTTGGAAAGAAAAGTGTCTCACGTGATTGTAAATATATGCATGTGTAGCGATCTGGGCAACAAGATAAACGATAGCTTCCTCACTTGGAATGAATGAAACATGCGCAAAAAGAACTCTTGCGATCTCTTTGTTGGGTTCAATATGGGATAACGTGGGAAAGAAGAGCACCATTGCACATGCATTGTTGTTGTTTACCGGGAGAAAGAATGATCCCACGCCAACAACATCACGTCTTCCTTACTCAATTATTGTGGTAGTTGGGACGCCACTTGGTCGAGTGACCATTGTTCCTCCACATCTGAACGTTCTAAAGGCGCCGATATCGCGGTGCAAAATATAGAAAGGCTTGCCAAACAAAAACAGCGTCGGCATCAAAGATACATGGCAACATGAGCAAGGTTGTTGGATACTTTGGTGCAAGAATCAAAAAGAGGACAAGTGCATCATGCACTTGAATTGATGTATGGATACTATTATAGATAATTTTTCCTTAGTTGCTGGATCGGCGAGCTTCTTTTTACCTGCATTGGCAGTGGGTGCAGCGGCATTGATATCTTCACTTGCTAATGTGGTACCACGTGCGTATGTTGAAGTACAATGGTTCTTTGATATTGGCAAGCTCAAAGTATCCAAGCAAGAACTGCAACAACGATTGGTTGAGTCGGATGATGCACTTGTGTGGTGATATGGCAACCCTGGTGTCAAAGCAACCATAAATCTTGTTCTCGGATGGGGTTGTCAACCTCGTTCCTCTTTGCGTTTGCCATCCAATTATAGGCCTATCAAGCCAAGTGCTTGGTAATAAAAGCATTGTAGTTGCTGGTTTCAATATGATGTTGTCATGGTGATGGATTGTTGTCGAGCATGATCAGATCTTGAGGATACACACGCAATACACCGTGTCTACACCCCAACATGCATTCTGATAATATCAAAAGGGATTAAAGATACTTTTTGTAGCTTTATGAGAGCCGAGATTTATTTCAACAAAGCTTCGAAATAGCAACAACAGCATTACTCTACTCGGAGCACGAAACCCAGCCTCCAATAAACGACACCTTTCATTATGCATAAACATGTGTGTCATTGCCCAAGAAGGGTTTACTATATTTGACATTTGTTTTCAATGAGTAACTTGATGAAATAGTTGATGGATTATCATTGACATGGTAGTGTTTGGGATATGAGTGATATTGAATGGAATAAGGCCGTCGCTAATAATATAGGGTGTTGAGATGCCTATGCACGTGCATTGTAAGGAGATTCAGCCAATATGCCGACAACCCGCGTGTATGGATTACAAAAGCGGTGTGATCCAGCTTTTTCCTGGCTGCACCATGTCCAAGCGAAAGCCGACTACCACTGCAGACTATGTAAAACCGCCACTTGCATCCACTTTCAACCCATCGCGTCCTCCCATCAACATGACCTCAACCGTGGGCGGCCCTACAACGACTTCCAATATCGAACAGCTGTGCAATGTCTTTTATCATGGAGAATACCACCGAGCTATTGCCCTGTCAAACACTCTGCAACACGATTTATTGTATACATTATTGACAGTACTCAATGTGCGTGCCCGTTCTCTTGCTCAATGTGGACTTTTCGAACAAGCCATGGAGGATGCCAGGTTCATGATGGAGCAGGCACCAAAGCTAGCAGTGGGCTATCTATGTGGTGGATGGATCTATGCTATGCAAGGTCGCCAGCGTGCCGCCATAGAGATCTATACGCTTGGATTGGAGCATGTACAACCAGACTCTGATGAAGAAAGCTATGCACAGTTACAACAAGGGAAGGCTACAGCCGAGATACAGCAATCCAAACGTATCGACTTCATATCCAAGTTGCCATTCGACATTTTGCCCAACGTAGTATCAAGATTCTTTTACAACCACATGCCAGGAGAACACGTGTATTATCTCGACATATCCCGTACTTGGAGAGATCGCATCTATCAATGTACAAAGCATTCCCTGCGCTTTATCGGTTATCAACTCGCTGATAATTACACACGTCTTGTGGAAGCTGCACCCTACGTCAGTGAACTCGCCATCTCAAGCGTATCTCATGCACCCAATGATGTTTTGGATCAATTACGACATGGTAGTTTCCGGTCTCTCAGGGTACTCAAGTTAACATGTAAGTGATGATGAGAAAGGAGATTCAGGGGTATGTATATGGAACAAAATTGCTCATTTCGGTTATTGGGGGAGAGGGTTTTTCAGATTGTCCAGTGGATAATCCTTCATTGTTACTCGAAGCGCTTACTCAAGTCAGCGACACGCTCACAAGCATCAATCTCAAGCTGAAACCCGATGAGATATCAGCAGGAACAGTACTCTCAGTGTGCCACAGATTGAATTCGCTCGTTTATTCAGGTGGATTGATTGAGGATATCGATTTGCGTAATGTACCAGAAACACTTGGATTGAAACGGTTATCATTGCATGTGGAGGAAGGGATTCGATCATCAACATTACAACCTATTCTACGTCGATGTCCATCGCTTGAGCTATTGGAAGTGGATCGCTGCTTGGATGCCAATTGCTTGGATTTGATTCGCCAATATTGCCCTGATTTGCTGTACCTGAATTTTAATGCTGTCAATGGTGGACGTGAGACATGGCCTGAATTGCCACGAATTGAAGACGAGGATGGTGGTGGATTGCAGGTTCTTGAAATTGCACGCATTGATGACGCGACGACCGAACACTTGATTGCATACATGGAGGAAAACATGTCCAATTCGTTACAAGAGCTTTCATTATCAAGCATTGCTCAGCGTCGACATCGCTTACAGAAGCCTTTGAAACGATTACATACGCTACGATGTTGGCCGAGTGAACATGTTGGTACTCTAGACGACGAAGATCCATTTCCTTCATCTATCATTCGCCAATCTCGCAACCTGAAGAGTGTCATTTTTGAACAAGCTCAACTACTTGGCCCAGAAACATTCATGGCTCTTGCACAATTGGATGAACTCACACATTTGCAATGCTTCGATAGCTTGAGAATCAGCGATCAAGGATTACGAAGGTTCCTGGAGAAGCATAAAACACAAGGCAGTCGATCAGCATTACAGCACTTGACACTGGATCATGGATTACAAGCGATGTCGGATGATACACTTGACGTACTTGGTGGCGTTACTTCACTTACAGCATTGTCAATGGCCGATACACAGCTGATCACAAAGGACGCTTTTGAGGCATTTGCACACAAACTACGTTATTTTCCACACCTCGTCACCCTTGGATTCTCACTGATGGATTGTGTCACCGACGTAGCTCTTTGGCATCTTTACGACTCAAAAAGTTTGAAGAGCATCGCCCTTTATGACCTTGCCAACATTACCAACGATGGGGTTGCCTGTCTCGCAGATTATGACAACCTTGAATACCTTGAAATCGATTGTTGTAACGAAGAGGCGATTGAACCTAGTCTTGTACGCCTTGTACGCCGCATGCGATATATCATTAACAAGTATACCAAGTCACCATCATCATCATCCAAATGAAAAAGTCATTACCCTTTAGCATACACACACACACACACCCCAATAAATCAATGTTGGTTTACATCACCACCATAGTAGGTTTCTTAATGCTATGTATGGTCAAAATAAAGGATGAATGTATTTGCAAAAGAATGGTACATTGTTGTAATGAATGCCATATAATACGCTTTCTAAAAGAGGGAATCATCAAGATGATAAAAGATATATAGCCACGAGCGTATCAAAGAATATACAATCGGACCCCCTCACCAAATGGTACATTTCGTCTCAGGGTTCATGGGGCTACCAGCTGGGCAATTGAATGCTTCGGCAAAGGTATTTGAGTTTTGCATAACACCATTGACACGAACATTGGCTGGCGAGTGAGGATCGGAGAAGATCTGTCACGATGATAATGATGCGTGAGTTACACACAAAAAGGCACACTTTGCATTTGATAGCGACTTACTCGACTTATGGCCTTCTCAGGACGAGATTTGATACACCAAAGTCTACCCATGCTGACATAGAACAGCTGTTCGGGTGTTAAATCAATACCAGGAAGCTTAACATGCTCGGCCTTGGTGCCATTGGCCAAAGGGCCTTGATCCCACGCTTGTTTGAATGCTGTGTAGGCAGCAGCAACACCACCATTATCAGCAAGATTTTCTCCAAGAGTGAGCTACAATGATGGATTGTTGTTGTGTGAGATAAAAAAAATCAACGTATCATAAAGCACAAAAGCCAACTTACTTTGCCATTAACATGAACTTCCTTGCCATCAGGCCCGGTGATAGTGAAATTGCTGTATTGGCGGATAAAGCACTGGGTCTTTTCTTCAAATTGTTGTGAGGTTGCATTGGTCCACCATTGCTTAAGCCGTCCATCAGCATCATACTTTCGGCCTTGGTTGTCAAATGCATGCTACAATAGATCCAATGAGATAGGAGCAAATTGGTACAATGAAAATACTTACGGTGAATTCATGTCCCACAATCATGCCAATAGCACCATAGTTCATGTAAGCGGGGGCATCATTACCATAAGCAATAGAGCTCAAGATGCCGGCGGGCACAACAATCTAGGAGGTTAGGTGGTTAATGATACGTATTAGCTGGTAAGATGGGATACTAACCTCGTTGTAAAGAAGAGCATAGTATGCATTGACTTCGGGTGGTGTCATGCTCCATTCATTCTTGTCGGTGGGCTTGCCAAGTTTATCCCATGCTTGCTTCAGCTGATATTGTAAAATGCTTGACTCAGAGTCGATAAAGCTATCGGTGACATGTGCATCCTCATAGTAGTCTTTCAACGATTGAGGTGATCGATCATCCGGAACCACGGTACTGTAAGCGACCTTTTGTTTGATTTGGTTCACCTAATAAAGATAAAATTGGTCAATAGAGACAAGGGGAACGTATGTGGTGGAAATGCTAATATACCTTTTTGATGGCTCTCTCACGCGTCTCCTTATCCAGCCAATCCACATCAGCAAGACGATTCAGCCATGATTCGTGAATGAGAGTGACAAGCTCATCAACCTTGGCACGTGCATCATCGCCACCAAAGTTGGCCATGACATAGTATCGACCCACGATTTCGCCAAATGAGCCCATGGTATTTGAGACACAAGTATTCCAACGTGGTAGTAGCTTGACAGTACCGGAGGTAATGCGACCCACAAAGTTTTCGACAAGCTGACGAGTATGCGTGTCTAACGCATAGACCCAAGCGTAGATCTCATTCAAGAGAAAGTAATCTCTAATGGTCTTAAGAGACACCTCGCCGCTTGAGAACCACTGTGTCAAGTCTTGCAAATAGGAAGGCACCATAACGATAAGTGGCTCTGGAATCTCCTTCATGTCCTCGGGGATCATGCGTTGAAGAACCGATTTCCAATCAATGATCGGGTATTTTGATTGCAATTCGGAGAGCTTCATTGGGTTGTAGGTCTTGTATGGATCCTGCAGCTCTTCACTAATGTATTATGTAAGTACATTGGATAGCGACATCATCATGTCATAGATAGACTTACTTTAGTAATGTGATGTTGGCCAACTTGACTTCGAAATCCACCACACGTTTCACCATGTCTTCGATCTCTTCTTTCTCTCGGACTTCAATACCAGCCTCTTGCATCTGCTTGGCCCAAGTATCATTGCCCAGCACCGAAGTCAATAGCACATTCACGCCGCTGCGGTATAATTCCATGGCCTTTTCGTTTTCGTACTGCTGCTTGGATTGCAAAATCAAGCTGGGTTGGGTGACAAGGATTGTTTGTTTCTCGGGGTTTTGGTTGTCAGCTGATACGCCAATCGCAATTAGCGGCTGCGAAGCTTGCATAGTAGCCTCAAAGATCATATCGGTCAATCCTTTGGCATGTTCCTTGGCATCAAAGATATCCTCATCCTCAGTAGAATCGATGTCCCAAGACTTTATAGTGTTCAATAGCTGAGCCATGCGAGGGTATAAAGGCGTTGGGCCCAAATCATTAATGGTATCTTCATCCATGCATGTGTGATAATAGCGCTGCACCTTGTCGAAAATGGCTTGGTCTGCTGCACGTGTCTCATCCGTTACAAAGTCATCAGCCTTATTCGTTTGAAGTAATTCATCATAGGTTCCTTCAAGGACCTTTCGAATGATCTCCAAGTTGTCGTCAGACATCACTTTTAACGATCCAATCTCTGTATAAAGTTGGGGAGGTAAAATGTGCGGAGCTTGTTAGTTTCGGTAGCACATGCTTATGCCTGTCAAGTTCAACGTGCCTGGTTTATCATCAGGGATTTCAGCTGATTTTTGCCAGGTTCCACCTTTGGGAAAAAAAGTCAATACGGTTGCCTTGGATACGTTGTTGAAACAACTATGGACCACTTACACGTATACTGGTAAAAGTCTGTACACGGATCGGCGTTAAAGTCGACGTATTCACGTATCGATTTGGCTGCTTCTTGACAAGCCTGTGTAGTGCATTCGTTCAAGGCATTATTTGGCACAGCACTTGCACTCGCAACAAGCGCTCCCCACATGTTTGTCTAAAAGTGTATAAAGAGATGCAAAAAGGAAAGAGAAAAAGGAAGAGATTGAGCTGCTGGATTTGCTTGTTCTCTTGCAGTCTCCTTAAATCAACGACAAATAAACTCCCCTTGCACGGCGGTTTAGATGCTTCCATTTAGCGACCTTTTTTTTCTCTCCTGAACTTTGTGCGGGTTTATTTTTACCGTTGTGGGTGGCGCTGATAATGAAAATCTGCCGTATACATTAAACAAACCATCATACTTTCATTTCAGCCACAAACTTATGCAGAGCACCGTTATTAGGGGCTCACCTACTACATGCCATATATGCGAATAATCATTTCATCGTCCTTGTTTCAAGGAGATCATGATGGGAAATGGTGTGACCAACAACAGCAACAATCAAAGCGTGTAGTGCATTAACACAAAGCCAACTCTCAAAATCTTGGTCTCATCCGGTTTCCAAAAGAATGAATGCCTGCATGCCTTTTGTTTTTGGGCTCGGCTATTGGGAATGGTAGTCAACACCATCATGCGATATTATGTACATTAGATAAAGTCATATTTGTATCATCGCATACGTATACCATACGTGTGGAATATCATTTGGATGATCGTGAGCAAGAGAATGACGTACTTTTTTGTTGACGTTTATGCATGGCCGCTCCCTTTTTTGGCATTAAGAGCGGATGTTTACATTCCCATCCATAATGAAAAAGGATCCTTCATGCGTTATGGTGAGAAAGAAATAGCAGCATGTGCATAATGCCTTAACCTGTGCACCCCAATCAACATGAACATGGAATTTACAACAGCAAAAGGGGGACAAACAATATTCATTGATAGAACATTTGTGCAAAGGAATCATGGGGGAAGATATTCAAAGCTACATTGAGATACTACACTAGCATACAATGAAAACATGGGGGGATAATGGGGGAAGATTAGTGGACAGTAATCTTCTTGGAGGGCTTGGCTTGATCACTCTTGAGCATGGTGATCTCGAGGATGCCGTTTTCATACTTGGCGTTAATCTTGTCACGGTCAACATTTTCGGGAACGGTCAAGGTGCGTGAAAAAGTGCCTTCACGACGCTCTTGATAGCGCGTGTTTTCCTTTGTGTATTGCTGATCAAACTTGGTTTCGCCCGAGATGGTCATTGTGTCGCCGTTCACATCCACCTTGATATCTTCTTTCTTGACACCGGGGCATTCGGCATGGATGACCCATTGCTTGTCCGTTTCATAAAGACTCACAGCAGGGCTGATAAAGTTGGATGATGGGTTGTTGTTGTCCGAGAAAAAGGAGGAAAGACTACCAGTGGAAGGGAAGTCTTGATACATGTGGTTCATGAGTTGATTCATGCGACGTTCAATGCTGCGTGGGGAAGGTCCAAAACCGCCAAAGTTGATGAGAGACATTGTGTTTGAGATACTTGAGATATAAGAAAAAGAGACTAAAGAGCAGGCCACCCTCTTCGTGGTGCAAGCGTATTTATACATTTCTATCGCGTAATGGTTACTCGAAAATTCTGGAACCGCTTTGTTCCATGATGCAACATTGAATCATTCTATTGGTGTGTTGGTTGACTTTTATGCGAGCAACTGGTTCATTGTGGCAAATTCTTGCTTATTCTAGTGGATTCCGCATTGTTGACAATCACTGTGGTCAGCTGATATGTACGCATTGATTTATGCAGCAGTAAGCGACATACTGCTGGAAATTTCGATGACATTAATGGCAAGAGGAAAGAGAAGGTAGCATACAACAGCATTACAGCAACAGTGCAAAAAAGGAATGTGGTCAATGTCAGCATGATTTTTTGCTGGCAATAGCCATACTCTTATCATTATGGAAAGGTTTATTTGGTACGAGAGGCTATTAACCACTACTCCCCACATGTAAGAGATATGCATGAAGTGATACAAAGGGTACGGAGTTGAGCTTGCAAAATCCTGGGATTAAGTTGATCATGGCTATAGACATCCTTTTACTCCACACAACTACTACTACTCCACAAACAAGATGGACAAACTAAAAAAGAACTTGCCTACGCCACGCTCGAAACGGCGAGTATTTATTGCTTGTATTGCAACCTTCCTCATATCGCTACTTTTACTGGTGCCAATCTCGCACATGAGTTGCGAGCCGCTTCCTGAACGGCAGGATGGTCTCCCTGATGCGCTTGAAGCAGCTTCACGTCGTCCATTCGATGGTGTCTCTTTTGAGAATCTCAATAAGCCTTCCCCTGACAACCACGTTCTCATCCTCACCATGATCAACCCATCGACTGTACGGTACCTGGCCGACTTTTTCAAGACTGTAAGAAAACTGGAACATCCCAACTTGTCCATGGCATTGCTCATCATCAATCCCGGACCAACGACAGTCCATGCCGTACGACAGCATATCGAGCATACGCGAGTAGCATTCCCAATCAAGCTCTATGTCAAAACATACGAGGATAGCATCATGTCGTTTATCTTGACACCTGGCAAAGAGACTGTGTACGAGCTTCAACCTCTTCGACGAGCGGCTATAGCGAGAGCGCGCAACTTTTTACTACAATCAGCACTCGAAAGCAAGCATCAGTATACATTGTGGTTGGATCCTCTGCTGGCATGGTTTCCATCTACGCTTGTACAAGATTTGATAGCTGTGGATGAAGATATTGTGGTCCCAAATACAATGATCCAACGAGACGGCAATGAATGGGGTCACGACAAACGCAATTGGCAAGAAACAGAACTCTCCATTTCATTATCCAAGGAAGTACCCGAAGATTTCATCTTTATGGAAGGTAAAGGAGGAATGGATGGATATTGGTTATAGGGTCGCTCTACGTTACTTACACTACCCTTTTTCTTTTGCAGGCTGGCTTGAATTTACTACGCATCGATTCTTGATGATTGATATGACTGAAATGGAAAACAAGGTGCCATTGGATGGGATTGGATCAACATGCATATTGACACGGGCCAGTGTTCATCGTGAAGGCATTAATTTTCCCGCGTTCCCATTTCGACATCATATTGATACGGAAGGTTTTGCGAAGGCTGCTGCTGCTGCTGGCTATACAGTCTATGGCTTACCTGCTTACAAGATCTATCACACCGGCATCCCGGACAATGGGCTACATGAAGATAACTTGTAGTAGTATTATCATCATCATCCATATTTCATATTTTCCCCTTCCTCCTCCTCCTCCTCCTCCTCCTCCTCACCTTTCTTCATTCTCATCCCAACCCAGTGTACATTTTTATCCATATTCACCTATTCCTATTGTCCCTGCATCATGTAAACGCTTATTGATTCTTGTTGATAAAAAAAGAACTTTTGTTTTCCTGATCCTGTCAATCGCTGAATGGCACCACACAATATATGAAAATCTGCAATCCATAAGTTTGGTGCACATGCTTACAAATAAAGCACGTATGAGGAGATACCATCTGATTAGAGTTGCAACACAATGACCCTACTAGTTTTGATCATTGGCGAGTTCAAATCAATATAGCCTTTTATATGTATTCTCTTTTCATACGCATGCTATCCACATTTATTCATAATGCAAGGGTCCAATTGTTGATCTAGCTTATTGAAAATACCAGCATGGATTTAAGAGCAATGGTGCCTGAATAGATGGGCGTTTATCTAAAGTAAATCCTTCATCCCCGAACGATCGGGCTACCATATTGGTGGGGCAGTGTGAAACAAGCTTGCATCGATACTAAATAAATAGCCGCCCATCTTTGAGGTTGTTCCACCAGCTCCCCGCTTTTTTACATTTTTCATCTTTTGAATCCCAAGCTATGGTTCAGGAGAGCACTATCTACGTTCGTGAAGTGACATCCGCTGACGTCAAATACAACGAGACAGCAGCTGCTGTGGTGAATGACGCCTACCGATCCAAAGGTAAGTTGATCAACTGAATGGAGGAGGAGGAGGAGCATTGGCTAATGGGTCGATTCCAGGTGGCTGGACAACGGAGGAGCATATCGTTGGCGGGCAACGGGCCACATTGGAGGACATGAATGATGCGGTGCTTAGCAACGGCAAGCCCAATGTGCTATTGTATGCATTTGATTCGAGTGATACAGAAAAAGTGATTGGCACTGTGCAGATCCAACATCATGATACCAAGGAAGCTGAAATTGGCCTCTTTTCCGTTTCACCGGATTACCAATCCAAGGGTGTGGGTGGTCGTTTAATGCGTAGTGCATTTGAACGCATGAAGGAACTAGGCTATACCACTGCGACTCTTCACGTGCTCGAAAATCGTCCTGAACTATTGGCTTGGTATGCTAAACTTGGCTTCAAGGAAACGGGTGAACGTGTGCCTTTTGTCTGGCCAGAGATGCTCAAGATCAAGGATCTTCACTTTTTGACGTTGAAGAAGGATTTGTAAAGTAGAAAAAGACCTTTAGTAGATTGTATATTCCCCCCCATCGTCGTTCTCTTTTCCATATGTAATCATTCTTATTACAACCCACTTTTCTTATCTCAATGCTCTATGATGATTGTACCACACTTGGGCCAGTGTTGCACCATTGAAAAGACCAGGTGGATAGACATTTGTGATGTATGTCAATTATGAGATCATGGATCAATGCAAGCTGTCATCTGGTATACACGTTTCTTCATAATGGCACGGGGATTGAGTAATGTTCACAGTAGGCAGGTTATTTACAAGCATCATCCACTCTTCTAATTGAGGAAAGTACGCCCATTGTGCGTGTATTCATATAATCAAGGCGTCATTGTTTCACATAGGTGGTGTCCAAGGTGACTGCATAGCCCCGACGACAATTGACACAAAAGGGTGAGGTCTTCTTCCGCTCGCTTTTCTTTTCTTGCACTCCGCGATCTATTTAATACTCGATCCATTCTCTCACAACAACCCCCCCCCATTTGCCACGTTCTTTCAATCCACATGAACCTTGTTTTGGAAGCATGCCGGTTCAAGCACCCGTTTCTGAGCAGACGACAACACCTTCTTCCAACCATGCCTCTTCCGATCATGCCACTACTACCATGAAGAAAGACAACGAGCCTGAAGCAGAGGCAACAGCAGCAGCAGCAGCAGCAGCCAACAATGACACGCCCACCAACAAGTCCAAGCTGGAGGAAAACGACGAGTAAGATAAAACACTTGCTTGCACCATGGTTCTTTTTGTTGATGGGTCTCCTTTCTTATCACTCGTAGTTATAAAAGCACTGTGGCCGCTTTGAATGTCCTGCGACGGCAACTGCAGCAAGCCAATAAGGATGTTGAAACACTTTATTCACTTAAACAAGAGGCACTTGATCATCCTTTTCAGTTTTTGACCGATCTCAAAGAGAAGGTAAGTCATCATCACACATTTACACGTGAGATAGTGTGCGTGGAATCTCACTGGATATCACAATAGAAAACGCGACGTCGTGTACCCAAACTTCAAAAGATTGCTTGTGCACCTTCCGTTGACTGGACCAAGTATCGATATATTCCCGAGCATCGGATGATGGAACGAGCAGGTAAATATACCAATTCACACTAGTCTGGGAAATAGGATGATGGGCTGACAACGTTATAGCCATGCTATCCGCTTTGGTGCAGGGTACTCTTAAACAACCTCCAGTGTTTCGGGTATGTGTAATACATATATAGAAATGTGCTGTGTTTGTTAACATGTGCATATTAGAACGTTTTGGATTATCCATCATCTTCTCATCTTCGACAAGAACCATCATCACCATCAAGTACAGTGAGTCATATGCAGAGGGAAATGGCACGGGTATCGCGTATTGTTGGCCAAGTCCCTTCGACACGTGCTTCCTCGGTGGATCTTTCAGACAAGGAATCAGATGACGAAGGAGGGAAAGGACAAGCAGCTACAGGATCCGAGATGGGTATGTTTTCTGGCAAAGGCAAAGGCAAACGGCGTATGTCCACTACCCAAACAGGGCCCATGACACCCAGTGACTTTAACTATGGGGCTATGCTAAGGTACACTCTTTTCTTCACATTTTGGATTTTCGATGAATCTCATTGGATCGATTTTGTTGCTTTATAGTGCCACACCTCGAAATGAAATGGAAGAGGATACAAGTAGCACTGTAAGTGTTATGCATACGATGTGCATTTCAATGGTATGATACTCATGCACTATGCTGATGATATAGATGGAACATCGAGCAGCTACCTACAATCAACCATGGACCGATGAGGAGCAGGTAACGTGTATTTTTATGGGAAACAAAGGAGGTTCTCATTGTCCGTTATAGCGTCGATTGGAAGAACTATTGGAAGTTTATCCTGATGAACCAGTACAATCACAACGCTTCCTCAAGATATCCAAAGCTCTGGGGACTCGCACCACCAAACAAGTTGCAAGCCGTGTTCAGAAGTATTTCATCAAACTTGCCAAGCTTGGTTTACCTGTACCAGGGCGTGTCAGCATTCCTGTAAGTCATTATTTGCATTTTGGTTGTTACCTTGATCTAATGATGTATTCTCTTTAGCCTTCAAGCTTACCAAAGGCTAAAAGAAAGGTTACAAAGGTCAAAGGACGTGGAGGGGGGAATACAGCAGCAGCAACAGCAGCGGCAGCGGCGGCAAGAGCTGCGAGATCATCATCAACATCAAGGACATCTGGTCCTGGGTATAATGCTATGGTGTCAGGAGGGATCACAAATACCAGGTATGATGGAGCTTTGGAATTGGTATTGAAGGGTAAATGCTCATATGCGAGAAACCATTTAGGATATCCGGCACACATTATTTAACAGCCCAAGCACCCGCAGCTGCACTCATGTCAGATGATGAGGATGATGTTAAAAAGACCATGCTCAAGGTAGCCAAGCCTGACACAACTCCGACAGCCAACACCGATACGGGATCAAACAATGAAGTGGCTATACATGAAGGCTATGCAGTAAGTGAAGCTTATTTTGGGATGTGATATGATCGAGGAAACTGATGATGGGTGTGTACAGTGTGATTCATGCGGCGTGGAACCAATTGTTGGTGTTCGTTACAAGTGTACGGTTTGCGATATCAGTGAGGAGGTTGATCTTTGTAGTAAGTGCATGGCAGTGGGCACTTTTCGCAATGGTAAGATAACAGGATCATTGGATAAAACGAGAGGTGATGATGACTTATGGGTTATTTTTAGATCATCATACACCTGAGCATTCATTTGAAGCCATCCATGTTGCCAATGCTCTACCCTATTATGCCGATACCGACTATGACACCTCTGCCTATCTTGGAGAATACAGCTATCTTGGAATGTAATATTAGCAGCAGCCAGCATTTTCTTCCCCATTGTACACATACACATTTAGCACATATCAACCATCATCCATTTCATCCATCATATACACAAACACATTAAAAGCCTCCATCCGCATGATTAAGAATACACAAAAGGATATTCCTTTTTATTACCCATCAATGTACAAGAAGGAATTTACTCATCCTGCTCGATGACGTTGCGCTCGGAGACGTAGATACCGTCCAAGAACTTACGGATATCCTTGTTGCGGACACGGCAAGTTTGTTGGATATCAGCGGCGGACTGGGAAACGTTCTCGAGGTCGTTACCAGTGATGACCAACTCATCCTTTTGGTTCTTGGAAGCCTCACAGTGGACACCTTCACGCATCTTGACTTGGAAAGCAACCTTTTGGCCCAAGAAGTTACGGATCTCAACAGCGTCGTTGGTACCGTTCACGATAACGTTGATGGGAAAGTGAGCATACACATAACGCATCTTGTATTGGAAGCCCTTGGTGACACCAGTGATCATGTTGTTGACAATAGAGCGAACGGTGCGGATAGCAGCAACGTGCTTACGGGCACCGTGGTAAACAGTGAAACGCAAGGTTTGCTTGCCATCGTGCTTGATTTCAATGTTCAAGTGACGCAAGTTCTTGGTCAAAGTGCCACGGGGACCAGTGACGGTAATGAGGCGAGACTTGACGCTGACCTTAACACCTTCAGGGATAGTGAGTTGGTCGTCCTTGGAGATATCCTGTTGTTGGAGGGAGGAATGGTGGGTACTATAAGTATACTATCTCGGGGACACACATACACTGGGTTGAAAGTCGAATTTACCTTCATGGTCGGTTAATCCCTATATGCACACACAAGGAAATCTCGTGATTAGATCATCCATCCTTTCCATTCATCCATTCATCCATCCAATTCATCCACCCATTTTATCATTCATCCATCCTATTCCTCACTTACCAGTAATGCACAGAGGCGAGAAAAGAGAGAGCTTCTTCCCAATGCGGGATCTGTTGTCGTGTGTGTGTCTCGCTCGTTCCCCCCTCCCCCATTCCCCCGGGGCCGGGGC